ACTTATACAATCTACTACCATAACTCAAAGTACATTCAAGTATTTCTACTGACTAATTCCGTTCAAAGCCAATCACAACAACTGATAATTTTTCAGACAAGTTTCGGTTTCAAAGTTGAACAGGAAGTTTAGTCCTAACGCGGTTTGCGTTTCTCAAACTTTTGCTGTGTTCTTACGCAACAAAAGTACCATTTCTGATCTAAACAATCTATTCTGAGCTATAAGTTCGGTAGATTACTTTTTTTTGAGTTTCGCCTAATTTAATAGTTAACTGTGGTTTTGCCTCAGCTAACTATTCGGTTTTTTTCAGTTTTTCACGTAAAGGCTAATTCATTTTATCTCACTCGTTTTTATACATTTCTCCCGTTTTAGTGTGGTTTTCAGTGTATTTTTAACGGTCTTAAGCTTCGATACTATCTCTAACATAGTTTGCGTCAATACAGCCATGAAAAATTCATGCAAATGACCTGGATGCCGTTTTGCTGTTACATCTGTCATGCAGTGCGACAACTGCAAAGGTTGGCTCCACGAAACGTGCGCAGATCTTACGGCAACTGCTTACAAGAGACTCAACAAACCGGACCCTAAGTGGGTGTGTGTTACGTGCAACACGGACGCTGTAGTACTGCTGAGCAACATCATTGTTTTACTGACAGGTCTGCGGAATAAATTGTCAGTAAACTTGGAAACAGATAGCCATAAAATAGGTAGGCAAACGAGGGCGCGCAACGAAAATAAGAATAGGGATGTTGATAAGTCAACCATCGATGAAACACGCATTAGCACTAATGATGACATATTTAAACTCAGCACCATCATTACGTCGACAATAATTGATTCCCTCACTAAAATTGGATCTCCCAGTTCAGGGTCCTTAAACGCAACAGTGGTTCCTAAAAACTCTGTAGGTGACTGCACCCACGCCAACAAAGCTAATAAGGACCAGGTGTCACCGTCCAAGGTTGACATCCCAAGTGTTGTACGGACATCAACTGGTGCTTTGATCGCTCAGTCTACCCCCAAAAATGTCCGCCCGGTTATTAAAAAGCTTACGACTCAAAAACCTGCTTCGACCTCCAAACAACAACGTACTGAACCTGAACGCACCGGAAAACCTGGGAAAACAATAACGGTCCGTGATGACTCTCTCATAATCATGAACTTTATAGACAACCCTGACCTTCCTCTCAGTTTGCAGGACAAAAACGACAGGATGCTCTGGGGTGAACTGAACAAAAAGCTTGAATTGCTGAAAAATTCCCATTATATTAAAACACAATTATATGAACGAAGAATATTCTTTTCAATAATTTCTCATCAGGTTCTACAATTATAAATCCAAATTAATAATCCATCGAATTGGCCAGATTTAAGGCAGAGTACATCATTTGGAAATTGTAATATGCGAATTAAGAATTGTTATTTGTTATATAAAATCAAATCAGATCGTTCATGTTGGGGCTGACTAATATGAAGTGTTAACTTGAATCAGTTTATAAGTGAAATGAAATTGTGCGATAAATAACCAGAATAAATATAGTCAACATGTTGACTAAGCTTGAACTTTCTAGATTGGAACCTTTGACGGTCACACGGCTCACTCGGGGAAAGGAATCTAAACATCAAAATCACCCGAGACTACTCCGTGTAACACTCAAGAACGCTACCGAAGTACAGGATGTCCTGCTAGCTAGTCATCTACTGAAATCCGATAGGAACGTCAGAATACTGTCCGACATACCGTATTCTGAACGTCCCTGAAGGTTCTCGAGAGAAGTTTTTCCGCGGAAGAAATATCATCGTGCAAGGTGTACCGGAAAACATGGACCCTACTCAAGCAAACTCTGACATTCGGGAATGGAAATTCATCAAACAGTCCTTGAGGCTTAAAAACATACTGTCTCAGCATGTGATGAGACTAGCCAAGCAGGACGGGGATAACTTTTCCATCCTCCCGTATGGCGGCTGCAACTCTGGAAGCATTTCGTGTCAACAGACGTCGGTTGCCAACTGGGATCCATATGCACCGGATAGGCAAGCTGGAGCTGACCATTCCACTTGTGGACTGTCTTCAAGACAAAAAAACGTGTAAAGGACAGGGCCTACCAGTTTGACAAAACTTATATAGGTTGGTTACCTGTCCACTCACGCAAGGCTCTCACAGACAAACAGGAAGAAGCTCACGCGTTTCAAATTGAAAGCATTAACTGCTTATACATGAACGCCGCGAGTCTACCAAATAAAATGGATAAACTAAGTGAACTTAGCAACTCTAATAAAGTTCATCTGATAGGAATATCTGAAACTTGGTTATCTCCTCAGTATTCGGACCAGGAGCTAGCAATACCTGGGATGTCTCTGTTTCGCAATGACAGAAAAACAGGAATTGGGGGTGGAGTAGCCCTATACATAAGATCTGGCCTGGAGATACACCAAATCCACAACCACGAGTTTGACAATCTTGAGGAATCCATATGGTGCTCTATGAGATTGTCCACTACTTCGAGGTGCCTAGTCGGAGTCATATATAGTAAGCCCACTGCCGACATCGAGTATGACAGTCGCGTGCTGGAAGAACTATCCCGCTCTACGCGTCTCGGCTTCACTCATATCCTGATTCTAGGGGACTTCAATCTCCCTAGAGTCAACTTCGCGGAACATGCGTATACTGGAGGTGAAAATTCAATCGAAGCTCGGTTCTTCAACCTCATTGAGGATTTGGGACTACACGAAAATGTGAAGTTGGCTACTCGTTGGAGGAACGGTCAGACACCGTCGCGCTTAGACTGTGTTTTTACAAATGAAGAATTTCTAGTCGATGACCTCTCAATTCTGGCTCCCCTGGGAAAAGGGATCACACCGATATAGCCTTCAGTTTCGTCAGCATAACTGAGCTAAGATATCCCAACAACAACAGGCGCTGGAATTTCAAACGGTTGAATGCGTCAGCTCTACAGGACTATCTACGACAGGTGGATTGGAATGTTCACCCTCAACTCGATGTGGATGCTCACTGGAACTTCATATTACACACGCTCTTATGTGCTACAAAGCAGTCAGTTCCTCAAACGGTCCCCAAAATCCAGAAGCAACCTACAGTCATCAAAAACCGCACTTTTCGTTTGCTAAGCCGTAAAAAGCACTGTTGGGCAGAATACAAACGAACCGACAACAGCGGTGAGTACATGAAATACAAACATATAAGGAACATATGCACGAAGGCTATAAGAGAAAACAGGCTTCAGTACCAGATAAAGCTTATGGATAAATTTGTCTTCAATCCGAAAAGCTTATTCTGTTACGCAGCCACCTTCGTCAAGCCAAAACTGGAGTATCTCAACTGCTAGGTCCTAACGGCCCGACCGATAATGACGGTGACGCCGCTAACCTTCTGGCTGAGCAATACTCCCGGACATTTCAGCCGACCCACATCAACTATACTGATGTCGGCTCTGTCTGCAACTGCACAGGACTTTCCGTAGTGAAACTGAACGCTGACTTGGTGTTCCGTAAACTACAACACCTAAGAACAGACAGTTCTCCTGGTCCAGATATGGTCCACTCTGCTATACTGAGGGAAGCAGCTTCAATCCTGGCAACACCACTTAGCGTGATGTTCCCACATTCGTTAAGTCGAGGTAAACTACCTTTAAAAATCATGAAGTCCCTGATATACGATGGTATACACGACTATCTACTGTCCTTAAATTTATTCTCACCCCAACAGCATGGTTTCAGGAAGGGTTACTCCTGTATGACGAACCTGCTGACCGCGATGGACAGATGGACAAGCATCGTTGATCGCAAGGGGAAGGTAGACATCATTTACCTTGATTTCTCTAAGGCTTTTGATAGGGTTAACCACACATGTCTTATTAACAAGCTCAAACAATTGGGAATCAAACCACCTTTAATTGACTGGCTCAGTTCATATCTGACAAATCGACATTTTAAGGTCAGGGTAAACTTCAATTTCTCACACGCTATGGAATGTCCTAGTGGGGTCCCCCAGGGCTCAGTACTAGGACCTCTCCTCTTCCTGATTTATAAAAATGATCTTCCTCAACAGGTAACGTCAGACATATTGCTCTTTGCCGATGACGTGAAACTTTGGAGAGAGATACGCAACCAAGGGGACATACAGGCACTTCAGGTGGATCTGACGATAATGGACTTACCTTTAACACCTCAGAGTGTAAAGTAGTCCATCTGCGACACGTCGCAGATTACAGTTACAACCTAGGAAACTCCTCTCTAGTAGTATTCCGAGTTGAAAATGATTTAGGAGTTCTGGTGCCCTACGACTTAAAGTCTTACGCCAACTGTGACAGAAATGCCTTTCGAACAAACCTTGCAATGGTAACATTGAAGCGCATTTTTGGTCAGTTTGACGGAATAACTTTCCACATAATCTTTAATAGTTTCATTCGTCTCCATTTAGAGTACAGAAACATAGTTTTCCCTCCTACACTCCAAAAGGCTAAGGACACTCTGGAGCATACCAAACGGCGAGCCACGAAATCAGTTCGGGGACTCAAATTTAAACCTCTAATCACTCGACCTTTACCCATTAGAGTATAGGCGTCTTAGAGGTGACCTTCTAATGGCTTACAGTATCCTTAACACTCCTGGACATCTTCTTAAACACCTACGTAAGCCTTGTCCCAACACCAACCTAAGGGGTAACACCCAGAAACTGGAGATACAACATAGTAGAACGGACTGCATGCACAACTTCTACTCCTTAAGAGTTTTCAAATGCTGGAATTCGCTGCCAGCTGAACTAGTCCAAGCAACTTCCCAGGAGTCCTTTAAGAAGCGACTTGATCTATTCTCAAGGACTAAGGATAGTATCTTACTATGATTTTCCAACTTCTTTTTTCTCTTTTATTGTTAATATTCCTAGGTTCTTGCCTGGATGTATTGGTGATTTCTTTCTACTAGACACGGAAGCCTGTTAAGCGAAAGCTTCTTCTATTCCGTCCACAACCATTTGAACCATTTGAAGCGGGGTTTTAAAACTTCTCGTTACCAGTTATGTACGCCTGTGAGCTTTGTGGTCTTTCGTTTAAAACAGAACAGGTACACAAAAATTATTCTTGTCGATACTATTTAACAGGAAAGTTACGAACATGATATTAGTGAAAAACACCACAAAAAGTTTGAGGAAAATGAATTCAATAATGGACGGCAACCGTACGTTAGTATAAATTTAGTCTTATATAAGTTTAGGTCTCATTTTTGTTCTATATGCCATTGTGGAAAAATACAAGGCTTTAAGTGCTGGATCAACCACACTAAGAGCTCTCGTCATAAAACGAACTTAAAATCTTTCTATGAATTTTATGGAATTTAGTGAGTCCTACTTTTTATCAAACACCAATAATCCTCTTTATTTAATTGTCGTTGTCTTTCAGAATTTAGTTTTTTCAGGGAATTTATGGGTAGCTACAGCGTGCTTTACGAATAATCTTCTGAATGGTGGGTACGTAGTTACGGATGAGTGGAATTTTGTGGACTTTATTAATATAGAATCAACTGTTCACATGACCGCTTACTAGAATTTTAAGCAATGTATCTTCGGGACTTGAGCCTTGTTGCGCTTCACACGAAAGTGTTTTCATGAAGTTCAGTAAATTGTGCTGTTATTTGTAACGATCCTGGCTGAAAATTTCGTCAAGACTGCCCGATAGAAGTTGCTGTTACATGAATTGTCTAGGATATAGTACAAAGTTAGGGCTGGAGTGTCGTTTGTTACGTGAAAGCAGACACTTAGAAGACCTATGTTCTTCCAGCCATATTAAAAGCAGTGATAACCCCTCACATTAACTTCGAATATCATTTTCCAGTGATAAAGAAAATCAAAGTTGACTTATATATTGTCAGTAAAGGGAACTAAAATTTCATTGGTTATTTTGCAACTGGCGATTTCAAAAACGCTTGTGATTGCCGTTTGGAATTCTGCAACAATATTCAATGAATTCTAAATTCGCGTTTTCTTTACGATTGGGCATTATTGTTATGTACATCAATCTACTTGGATTTAAATTAACTTGTGTTGACTATCTATTCGCTACTGTTCGCATGCTATTTTGTAGCCCCCAAACTGGTTTGTCACAAGAACCATTTCAGTCTGGCTGCGAACCTAAAACATGTAGGTTTGTTTATGTTAGTTAATTTTACCTTTATTATATAATTGCTTAACGTAATATTTATACCTCATGTTTAGAAATGAAAACAAAATGTTCCGTTATACCATATTTTTATTAAGGGTCTCGCAGTTGCTTTATCTAAAAATACCATGGTACATTTTAAGAGAAGTTTCCTCTTAATTTTGAGGGAGTTGCATAAACTACCTTTGCTTCCTGAAATATTTGTACTTAATGCATCCAAATCGGCTTTTCAATAGAGGTCAGGTGGCAAGAATAGATATTTAGCATCCATGTTGGGTAAATTTATATTATACAACTTGACGAGTCGGTAAACCTTGATCCTATACCGGAAATAAACAAAGCTTTACTCATTTAGCCCTATCTAATACAATTTATTTATTTATTTGTTTTAACAAACAAATATTGGTACAAATGGGTACCGAAGACATATGCGCCACACACAAGCTCGTTTGGCCTTTGCCAACTTACGTCAGTCAGTCAGCTGCAACGTAGGACCAGGCACGTATATGCATCGGTCCAAGTTGCCATACCGCATTAGCACAACAAGATGAACACCGGATTCATAGAAGCACTTAATTCAGTGGTGGTAATATATAGAAGAAAGACTGTGTATAAGGAGATAGTACAGGAAGATAGAATTAGTTCGTAGAAAGAAAGATTTGAAGTGATTTTAATCTCTTAGCTTAAAGGAAGACAGAGAGTGAATACACCGACGCCATTGTGATCGATTCTGAGCCATGTCACCAAGAGTCTCCAACCATTGGTTACGATAGTCACGCGGACCCCAACCAGGTAGTCTGAATCTACCAACATGGCTCAGACCAGAAGTTAGTGACTTCAAGCACTGATGCCACGTTTTGGTTTGGCCGCCCCTGACTTTCTTCCAATTATCCCTAACACCGGTTAGCATTGCGCGCCGTGGTAATCGGTGTTCAGGCATACGTAACACGTGGCCCAACCATCTCAGTCGATGAAGGTTCATAACCTCATCAACTGATTTACCATCATTTCCTAATACCCTGCGTCTAACCTCACTATTACTTACCCGGTGATCCCAGCAGATACCCGCAATATTTCTAAGGCACCTGTGGTCAAATACTAGTAACTTACGAATATCTTCTACTCTTAAAGGCCATGTTTCGCAGCCGTATAGTAGAACGGAACAAACTGCCGCGCAGTATACTCGTCCCTTAATTAATAGACGGATATCTCGCCTTCGCCATAAATGACGTAAGTTGTCAAAGGCCAAACGAGCTTTTCGAATCCGTGCTGAGATTTCGTTAGACACCAACCCATTAGGGTTGATCAGACTTCCAAGATAAGTGAAGTTGTTAACGCGTTCGACTACTTCACCCCCTATCCTTAGTTCAGGTGTTGACGCAGACCAGTCCTGAAGCAACAACTTGCATTTAGAGGGAGAGAAGTGCATCCCAAACATTCTGGCATTGTTGCTCAGTGCTACCAAAAGATTCTGCATTTCATCAGCGTCTTCACCAAACAGGACTATGTCATCTGCGTATTCTAAGTCAATAAGTGGACCTCCAGGTAGGAGATCAATACCCGAGAATTCAGTCGATGAGTGCGTTATTTCCATCAGTAGATCTATGATGAAGTTGATCAAAAATGGAGAAAGTGGACAGCCTTGGCGGACGCTACTTGAGGTTGCGAAAGCAGATAACAGTTCGCCATAAGCTCTGACTCGACTAGTAGTGTTCGAGTAAAGAGCCTTCACAAAGTTTATGTACTTCTGAGGTACGCCTTTCAATGACAGACACTGCCACAGAACCTCTTGGTCAACAGAGTCAAATGCTACTTTGAGGTCAAGGAAGACCACCATTTTCGGACGCCGATAAGTATGCCTGTGTTCTAGAACCAGACGAATGGTGAATATGTGGTCGATGCAGCCACGACCAGGTCTAAAGCCAGCTTGATTCTCTCGTGTTTGCAGTTCAGGAGTCTTAGGCGTCCGATAATTATCGAAGCTAGTATTTTAGATATTATATTAGTTAAACTAATCCCTCTGTGGTTGTCACAGGATGATTTTGACCCTTTCTTAAATATTGGGACGATAAGTGATTGTGACTAGTTAGATGGGATAACGTCTAACTCCCAGATTTTAGCTAAAATATTAGTCAACCTAGTCTCTAGAATTGGATCACCATCCTTAAAGACCTCTGGGGCCAATCCGTCTGGACCAGCTGCGCTTCCTCGTTTCAGATTAGCTATACCCTTTTGAACTTCAGCTAGAGTTGGGGGACCTACTTCAATGTTCCATTCATACTGTCTGGGAATAGAGGGTAGTTGTAGAGTAGCTGAAGGCCAACTGAACTGCTCCTTAAAATGTTCCGCCCATCGTTCTAAACGTCTGGACTGGGAGCAGCTGAGAGTGTCGTCTTTTTCCGAAATAGTCTGACTTACACTTGATTTATTAATTCCAGTTTCTTTTATTAGTCTGTAGAGTTGTCTTGTGTTCCCTATAGCCGCCGCCTTTTCCATCTCTTTTGCTTTCGTTGCCTATCACTGCTCACGATCGTTCCTTAGACTTTTGCTTAACCTAGATCTGATTTCTTTACGCTCTTCATTGTGTTCAGAACCTGATGGGATGAGTTTACGAGAATCTATCAGTGCAATAGACCTTGAAGAAAGCCATTGGTTCTTTGTAACCATTTGGTTTAAATCACTAGTAGATGTCACTGCTGTTTCCACAGCTGCTTGTATGTCTTTCCAATCAACATCTGGGTCAGCCTCGTTTTCAGAACTACCTAAGTGTGACCTCAGTTGTTCCTGGAACCTACTTTTGGTTTTCTCATTACTCGATTCGGTTCTAATGAGTCTTTTTTGTGTGGCTTTTTTGCGTCCAGTGAGGCGCAAGCAGATGCGTGCTCGTACTAGGGCATGGTCGGAGTCCAAGCAGGTACTCCAGAATGAGCGACAATCTATCGACCCTCTCCAACGATGACTGATGGCAATATGGTTTATTTGAGTCCATCGTTGGTTTGGTGCAGGGGGTCGCCATGTTAGACGATGTCTCTCCTTATGCTCAAAATTTGTGTTTGCTAAAAATAAACGATTGTCTGAGCACAGTTGCAGCAGATGATCACCATTATCTGTTCTCTGTGCCGGAATACTAAAATACCCACCTAAATGTCTTTCTGTTTCGTTTAAGCTACCTACCTGGGCATTAAAGTCTCCTGCTACGAGTACTATGTCTGAACTTTTAGCTTTCTGAAGAAGTTCAGACAGCTTTCTGTAAAATTCATCTTTCACTTCATCCGAACTGCAGTCAGTGGGAGCGTAGGCAGAAACGACGAAAAGGCAACGACGTGTGTCCCTATCCTTTCGAGTTCTTACGGAGCCGTTTAGCCGAACAGCGCATAGACGACTATTAACGGGGATCCACTCTAATAGCGCTTGTTCCGCCCTCATGCTTAGTGCTATGCCTACACCTGCCAGTCCACGAGAACTAGCCATCGGGTCGCCAGATACACGGAGAGTGTATCTCGTCGGCACTCCGTTTTGCCGAGGTGAGGTCAAGTGAATGGCCACACTAGGATCCTGTATGCGTGCTTCAGAGACACAGCATACATCAGTCGTACGAGATTCTAAGGTTTTAGCCAAGGAAGCCTGCTGACCGATTTGGTATAGTTTGCGTACGTTGAGGGCTCCAATGTGTAGTTTGGAGCGGGGTTTCAGTAGAACTGGGACAGTGTTTTGCGCACTAGAATCGTTGGCTGTTGTGACACTTGAGGAGGAAGCTAAAAGTGGCAGTTTAGATTTGAAAGTCGATGTAGGGGGAGGAATAATAGGAATTGAAGAGGTAGGTTGATTATGAATACAGTGGTCTTGAGTGCTGTTAGAGGTATGAGGGCGGTTATCACTTCCCGGTTCCTCACACCGTGGAAGGGTTCTGCTGGAGGTACCTGGAAAGGAAATTGGATTAGAGGTGGTCTTAGTGACCTGAGAGCGTGACCGCAGTGCCCAAGGGACAGCTGCTTGAGGTCGGTCACATACGACCTTTTTATGAGTAATTTTTGTGTTAGCTCCGTACTTGTTGAGACCTTACCGCCGGAGACGTATATCCGTGAGATAAAGCGAGGTCTGCATTTTTAGGGTCGACCTTTTCTAACCCCACTCCTTCTTGTGGGAAGGCAGCATCGCTGTTATGCTGGTTGTCTGAAGGAAACACCTTACTGCTGTCACACCTCTGTACAGTCAGCAGTACGACTTCGCCTTCGGACCTAGGTTTTGTTGCTTTTAGTCTTACCGCTCTTCAACCGACCTCTCTGGCATGGTAGGACCTTGAGGAACGGTTGTTCCAGCCAGTATAGCTCAGTTGCTTCATCACGATAGGCAAGCCCGACCACCACGTCAAGGTAGCAACAACGGTCAGGTCAACTTACGTCATTTATGGCCTAGGCGAGATATCCGTCTATTAATTAAGGGACGAGTATACTGCGCGGCAGTTTGTTCCGTTCTACTATACGGCTGCGAAACATGGCCTTTAAGAGTAGAAGATATTCGTAAGTTACTAGTATTTAACCACAGGTGCCTTAGAAATATTGCGGGTATCTGCTGGGATCACCGGGTAAGTAATAGTGAGGTTAGACGCAGGGTATTAGGAAATGATGGTAAATCAGTTGATGAGGTTCTGAACCTTCATCGACTGAGATGGTTGGGCCACGTGTTACGTATGCCTGAACACCGATTACCACGGCGCGCAATGCTAACCGGTGTTAGGGATAATTGGAAGAAAGTCAGGGGCGGCCAAACCAAAACGTGGCATCAGTGCTTGAAGTCACTAACTTCTGGTCTGAGCCATGTTGGTAGATTCAGACTACCTGGTTGGGGTCCGCGTGACTATCGTAACCAATGGTTGGAGACTCTTGGTGACATGGCTCAGAATCGATCACAATGGCGTCGGTGTATTCACTCTCTGTCTTCCTTTAAGCTAAGAGATTAAAATCACTTCAAATCTTTCTTTCTACGAACTAATTCTATCTTCCTGTACTATCTCCTTATACACAGTCTTTCTTCTATATATTACCACCACTGAATTAAGTACTTCTATGAATCCGGTGTTCATCTTGTTGTGCTAATGCGGTATGGCAACTTGGACCGATGCATATACGTGCCTGGTCCTACGTTGCAGCTGACTGACTGACACCTAGAGCCTTCGACCTAAAGGTGTGGTCCACAAGGCAGTGGAGCAACGCCGAGAGATACAGTCCCATGGTTACCAGTGACCAGAGACTGGTTCATACGCCATTTGTTCATTTAGGATCCTGGAGCCCATGTACAACACTGGTTTTAAATCAGGGTTTTATAACTTCTCTAGGTGGATCCTTTGTATCCACCAACCCGGTTAAAACGCCAGACATTCGCTTTTCTTCCTCTCGCTTTCGTAAAGAACGCACCCGCCATGAGAAGGCAATGGGTAGGACTATCTTAGCAGTGGTTGTATACACGTGGTCATGTGAGAGCATTTCGAGAGGGAGAGCGGACTCTCCACCTACGGTTGTACCAGGGCATTCAGGAGCATCCAATACAATTCTTGGCACATGTGCTTCGACATGAGTTGGGACACCATATCGTCATAGCGAAATAAAATTGAGATGAATGCTAAAGTAGTCGGAATAATGGCTGTATCAGTAATAATAGAAAGGACGAAGCATATAGAATATCACTCAAACACAGGCCCGGTGTTTGCGCAGCAAAAGTTGGGAATAATATCGGACCTCATTATAGATGACTACCATGGCTACCATGAAACTACATCCTCTAAAGTTCCCCTACTGCCTTATGAAGTAGACCTCTAGGTCAAAGGCTCGGGATGTGGCCTCCTAAAAAACCACCTGTTGCGGTTTGGGCACCCCGGCAGTGTTCCAGCACTCACACGAATAGAAGGATTTATGTGGTGCATGTATTTGATGCCTCCTTGAATCAATGTTTATGTGTTTAAATAAATAAAAATTGTAAGTGCGTTTAACTTTCGGTCAGTATATTCCAGATTAAAACTCGGCTTCACCTACTTCAATTTAGGCAACCGAGAAGTATCATTACCTTTCATACGGGAAGTGTGACTCAGATCTAAGTACACGGTGAATTAGTTCAAAAGGGATATATCTGATGCAGGTCTATTAACTTGTAGATTCTGATTTTAGGTCAAGGGCTCTAAGTACGATCTCCTTGGGGAAATGCATACTATCGTTTAGAAGCCTCAAATGTCACTATTTCCACACAGATCATAATTCGAAAAAGAGTGAGTAACTCACTTTGATATGGCTCAGAATCGATCACAATGGCGTCGGTGTATTCACTCTCTGTCTTCCTTTAAGCTAAGAGATTAAAATCACTTCAAATCTTTCTTTCTACGAACTAATTCTATCTTCCTGTACTATCTCCTTATACACAGTCTTTCTTCTATATATTACCACCACTGAATTAAGTACTTCTATGAATCCGGTGTTCATCTTGTTGTGCTAATGCGGTATGGTAACTTGGACTGATGCATATACGTGCCTGGTCCTACGTTGCAGCTGACTGACTGACTGACTTTACAAATACACACCTGCAAATTTTAACTTTTTTCGTGAACTAGTTTATTTCCTATCACTATATATAACTGTCACATGTTGGTTGATGTTAGTCAAAATCGATTTCAGTGGAACAGAAGCATTCAATTTCTTTCCCTAAATCCTGAGTTTCAGTAGGGACATAATCGCTAGGTTGTACGTTGATCATAACCAATTGCTGATCTATTTTAAGACCTCAGTCTTTAAAACTGTGATTTTATAAAGTTCTACGATACTTTTCCTTTAATCAGGTCAGAAATCTGACGCAGTCAGCAACGGTCTTCGTACACGCAATGGGAAACGTTCGTCTGATACCTTCCAATCATCACATAACAAGTGTAATCGCAATATTTCTTCTACTCCGTTATCTAAGAAACCAAGAATTTCAAATACTTCTGATGTTCATGAAGGTGGAATGATGCTAAACATTGTAAGTAATTTCCTTAATGTAATTTTTAAGTGGTAACTGCACTCAATTATAATTTCCGTTGCGTTTATTTATAACAAAGTAATGACAATTTCTGATTCAAGTTGAATTCTTGTTGTGTTTAGGTCATTTTTGTCATATCTGTTTTCTCGTTTCAGTTAGAAACTATTGATAAAGATTCAGTAAATACACGTAAGCAAGAGAAGCAAATTCAAAAGATAACCACTATTAACTCTAAAGGTAAACATCAAAATGTATCAAAGCGGTTAACTAATGAGTTACGCTGTAAAGTAAGTAAGTCTACTAGTTCAAACCGTTGTGATTCTAAGAAAACAAAATCTGAACGGGAGACTTATTCCCCTGTTTACCCCAAAATAGTTACGTGCCCACCAACTTCTCTAAAACCAACTACAATTCAGCCTGTAAACGACAACACAAAGAAATGTGAAGAACTCCAGTGTATGGAGAAAGCTTTATTAATTTCCCAAGAACTTCAATCACTTAAAATCAAACAAGATGAACTGGAGGAAAAATTACAGACTGTTGAAACTGAGTTAAATTTGGTGAGTGTCAGTTGCATAAATCTTACAAAAGTCTTTTTATTTTGTATCTTAGTTACAGTTTGTATCTCATTCTGGGTCCAGATCATTTGCTTCTGTACAATCGTGTTGTTTATGTAATTTTACAGATAATATGTAAACTATCTGTCTAATTTTCCCGTAGTAAAACGGAACGACTGTCTCCTACTGTTGCACTATAAAAACCTATTCTCATTGTTTCAGCTATTGGAGTCTCGACTTTATAACTTCACAGAAATGAAATCTGAGTTGTAATTCGTTCTACTGTGAACAGGACCTTAAAATTAAATTCAACAGAGCTAGTGTCACATAAATTATCTTATGTGATATTTCTTCCTCTAAATGCTTTTAGGTAAACAGAACTCATCTACGCTTCATTTAATATTATTATCTTCAGAGTTGAATCCAGACTGGTTGGAGACTCTTGGTGACATGGCTCAGAATCGATCACAATGGCGTCGGTGTATACACTCTCTGTCTTCCTTAAATTAAGAGATTAAAATCGCTTCATATCTGTCTAGGAACTAATTCTTTCTTCCTGTACTATCTCCATATACACAATCTTTCTTCTATATATTACCACCACTGAATTAACTACTCCTATGAATCCGGTGTTCATCTTGTTGTGCTAATGCGGTATGGCAACTTGGACCGATGCATATACGTGCCTGGTCCTACGTTGCAGCTGACTGACTGACTGACTGAATCCAGATGATAAAAGTACTTTGAGGAACTCAGACTCTTCTATCTGGTTGCTCAGTTTTATTATTTTTCACGACGCGAGTGTATAATACTTTTAATATGAGAACAGTTTGGAATTTCTTAAATTTAGTATCTAACTACTTTCACACTTCAGTTGTATCCTCTTAGGGAGAGATTTTCCTGTCAAAGCTTACTGGCTGTCTATATTATGAAAACGTTAACTATAAATGCGAAATGTTTTTTTCATTTCACACACAAATAAATTTGTCGTTCTTCACTATTGTCGCGGTTTCTTCTGAAGATTTAAAATCGTACTTGTTTATAAATTATAACTGCTAGGAAATTATATGCCGCATATATTTGATTTAGAAATAAATAGATAAGCTTGAACTTAACTTTTACTAGGTTCAGCTCGTAATATCCAAGTTGTTTTTTAGCTCTATGTTCATACCTTAATTGATCGCTATATATAATGGTATTTTATTAAAGTTATTTAAAAAAAGACTGTATTACTAAGTTACTTATATTTTTTCCTATATAAAGATGGTCTAACCTTGGCTTTAATCAAGACATCAGGTGAAAAGACCACTAATTGTCATGTATAAACATTTTGTAAAACCCTATGTTATATTCATTTCATTTTGGTTTATCGCTACATTAGTTTCATCACTACTTAATTTTTGTTACGCTTCTACTTTTTTATATTCATGTTTGGTTTCGGTATGGAATATGAAAGGAAATCGTAGAAAACAACAATATAGCGAGAAAGCTATTGAGTTGTGGAAAATAGGTAGTGTTACGGAAGTTCAGCAACAAGTTATGATCTGAATATGAGTTAAGGTACACTTGCCTTGAACGATTGTCTGTTTATAACTACATATGACAATATTCCAATTGTTTTATATACCTATTTCCTTGCCCTTAATCCAAGTTTCTACATTTTAATCTAGGTCAAAGCTAAAAGGCGTGAGTTGAAACAAGAACGATCCAATCTACTACGAGGTATGTTTTGGATTATTTTTTGAGGATGAGCATATTGGTGATTTATTTAAATACATATCTGGTTCTGTGGAATAAGCCAATTATTTTTATGCTTTAACAAACAAAATGACAGTTTCTTAGTAATACTTATTTTTGTGGATTGTCTCACTTCTTTGATAATTGCTCAAGCAAAAACAATAACGGTGACGTTTTATTTCAGTCAGTCAGTAACAACGTGGAACTTCGTACGTACGTACATCAGTCCGAGTTGCCACACCACATTAGCACAGAGATTCAGTTATCGATTCAAATCCCGTAGTGGTAGAGGTAGTGAAAGTATAAGTAGTGATAGGGAACACTAGGGTTTGATGATGTTATTTAAGGAGTATAGTCCAGTGGAATAGATTCGGAAAGAAAATAAAGGACATGAAGAATTCAGAAGATTAGAGTTTGAGAGTGGATGCACCTGCTCCATTGCAAACGATTTTGAGCCATGTCATTCAAGGTCACTAACCATCGGTTGTTATCATCTCGCGGTCCCCAACCAAGTAGTCTACACCTACCAACATGACTCAGTCCACTTGTCAGAGACTCCATGGATTTGTGCCACCATAAAACATCGCGCGTCGGGGCAGACGTTTTAGTTAGAGTACATCATTAAAGTATTGTTTATCAGTTGGTGCATAATCCTACTACGATGTACCATGAATTCATATATCATGCTAATAATGCACATCTGATTCGATACCCGAAGATTAGACCTATCAGTCGGATATTAATTAAATGGTGAATGGGTGACCTACCTCCAATAACTATTGGTGTTTATCATGTTTATTCTGTACATAAGCACGTCACTTTATTTATTGAAAGACGATTCATCTGGTTAGGGATCTTGTCCTTGATTTCTGGTCATTCAGGGGCTTACATCAATAATTCATTTTCGTGAATAGCAATCATTTTACTACATTATGCTGTTGCGTTTATCTGTCGCTTAACCTTCTATACGTTGATCTTAACAATCGACAATTCGTTCGTCAGATCATCGAAAAATCTCATCTGTAACATTACCGTAACTGATTTCCAAGATTCGCTTAACTATGAGGCATATGTAATAATTCAGTGTTTGGGGTTCTGCGTGAAAAATATTTAGTAGATCATAATTGTTAATCTCTGTTGTTGCCTTTGACCAGTCACCAAGACCCTGGGATTCTTTATTGGGTCCATTGAGATGCTGTTATAGACGTCGGAGAAATTTGATGATGTCTACTGTTTTCTGAGGTCTCTAAGTTCAGACAAAATCGTGACGGCCTTTAGAGTTGGAAATAGATCGTCAATTATATTGAGAGACAATTAATAGTCAATTATAATTGTCACTTCCATTTACTATTTTTCTTCGTGATGGATATCTTCTTGTACCTACATTTGTTTACGCTTTTTATTGTCATTCATAACAGGTACAGACTTGTGTACTTGACTTCAAGTCATGTTTTAAGTGTGAAGGCTATTGATACTATCTAGTTGCCCATACCAATTAGGTCAAGCTAGGTTCGAACCTGTGGCTTAGTATCTGAAAGTCGAATGCTTTACCCATTGAGCCACCACTCTCTAGTGTTATTTCTTTATCCTGAGTTTAAAAATCACGTTACTCTTTCTGATCAACTATGCTTTGATTGTATGAAGGTGTTCTGAAATTATCACACTCACTTTGTTCAGTGTCTGTGATATAGCATCAATGTTATCGATATATTGTGTATGTTTGCAATATCATAACGTCAGAAGCAAAATCCATCTTCTGTGCTACATATATAATTGTTGTGTCCATTAACATAATGGTTGCCGATGACTTGTGTTTTGTAGGAAAATGGTAGTATTTGTATTTGTAAAGCGTATCAACTTACTTTTGCCATTGATCATCAGTTTAGATTATCACGTTAAGTACTAACGTTCAGGTGCTTCTTCTAAGCAATCTTCTCCCAATAACTTTTACTTAATTCGTTTTCAATCTTGCGGTATGTTGTTCATGCAATTAGTTAATAAATCTAGCAATAGGATTGACATGTATTTACAATTTACTCATATTTTTAATTCCATAATGACTACACAATTGTCTTATTTTAATCATATTCACCTAGTGATTATTTTATCAAGGTTTCTTTTTTTATCTTCTTTTGCGATCACTTACATAGCCACATAGTTAAGTTTTTTTCTAGTAAATGTTTCTCTCATCTTTCGTTAAAATAGGACTTAATCATTCCGACTCTGATATTGAGAGTCACACGAACACTTCTCGTTCTGAGCCAACAGATAACCGACAAAATGTCTCCTTACCGATTCAAAAATCGCATGTAAAAGTTATTGCTTCTATAGCTCCTTTGGATACACCTGATGTTGAAACATCGCATCCTACTCATTTTATAACCAATCCAAAAGCAATAAATAAGCAGCGAATTGGTATGCCTTCAAGTTTATCGTCCGATGTAACAAGCAATCAACAACCAGGTGAGCTTTGGTTTTCTATTTTGCAATTTTTGAGCAAAATGGTTTAGTGTATGAACTTTACATAGATAAGAAGTTTGTGAGTTTTATTAAGTAATTAAAATGGGATCTGTTTGCTTTCTATTCTTTTTTATCCCGATGTTACGAAAACTTCCATCTATTCATCTGTCTTTTTAATAATTAGAATTAAACCAGTCTAAAAGTGTTATCACATCCTCGCCGTCAGTCCCTGAAATTACTTCTAACGTTCCTACAGCCTCCTGTGTTCCTCAAGGTCATACCTCTACAGCTCCACAAAATACAGTATCTGATCCATTTAATCCAATACCTACCAGTTCAAATTCTAATGGTGTTGATTTAGAGCGTTTAGCTTTAATACGTCAAGCTCTTCAGTCTCCAAACAGCTGGCAGTTTACTTTTGATGAAGTTGATCAAATGTTAAAGCAAGCAGCAGCTAAGGCTTCCACTAAAACAGTTAATAAAAATGTTGGATCGTTAGGACACCCATCTCAAACAAGACTTACTGCAGATTTACCAATGACAGTCGAAGGTATGCTAATTATTCTTAATACCTTTATTATTATACTAGGAATTCTTTCTGTGTATTTGCTCTTTCCCAAAAACCTGAATAAATTGGTTGCTTTCTATTCTTTATTTTAGATAAAATCACATCTCCACCTATAAAAGGTGAGCCAGTCATTTACCCAACAGCAAAGATTAAAGAGCAATCAATAGATACAAATGAAAAAAGTCGCACTGTCACATTCGATTCATCTAAAACTATCTGCCATCAAAGCTTACCACTCGAACCCTCTGTTCTTCGCATTTCACCTCCTAAACAAGTGGATAAATCATATATCTCTTCCTGTTCGACGTCATCATCATCAGATGATGACGACAGTCATGAAAAAATGTGTAATGACAAGAAAATTTCATTGCCTTTTAGAGCTAAAGTTGAAACTGACACGAGTTACCCTCTTTTGAAATCGGAATCCAAATCTTCGGGCACATTACCCAATAAGGGTAATATTAAAATAGGTGAATTTCATGCTTTTGGTGGCTGCGCTACTGCTGTGATTGATATGGCTATAAACCCGGTTACAAATGTGGCTTATATTGGAGGACAGAACGGTACTATTGTCGAATGTGACCTTAAAGTATGAAACTAAACCTAATTCTATTTTTTTATTGAGTATTTTGGGTTGTAGCTTATATTTGCGTTCTATACTGTGTGATAAAATATATTTCATTTCTTGTATTTTCATACATATTATCTCATTATTATTTTTTATTACATAAATAATATATTCCTCAATTCCCCTAGTACGACCGATGGTGGGGAGAGTTTTCCCTCTCTCCCTCTCGAAATACTGTCACATGGCCTTGTGTATACAACCACTACCAGGTAAATCCTACTTATTGTCTTCTCATGTCAGGTGTGTTGTTTACGCAATTGAGCGGACGAAAAGTGAATGTCCGGCGCTTTAACCGGGTTGGTGGATACGGCTACCATGGGACTGCATCTCCTGACTTTGATCCACTACTTTATGAATTAGACCTCTAGGTAGTCGAACGTGTCGACAACTTCACTTATCTTGGAAGTCTGATCAGTCCTAATGGGTTGGTGTCTGGCGAAATCTCTGCACGGATTCAGAAAGCTCGTTTGGCTTTTGCCAACTTGCGTCACCTATGGCGAAGGCGAGATATCCGTCCGCGCGACTATCATAACCAGTGGTTAAAAAATCTGGGTAACATGGCTCAGAATCGACCGAAATGTCGTAGGTGTATACACTCTTTGTCTTCCCTTAAACCGTGAGATTAAAGTTACTTTAAGCCTTTCTTTCTACGAATTAATCCTTTCTGCATGTATCGTATCATTATAACTACTTCTATGAATTAGTTGTTCATCTTGTGCTAATGAGGCGTGGTAACCCGGACCAATCCATATACGTGCCTGATCCTACGTTTTAGCCGACTGAGTGATTCAAACTGGCCTCCTTCAACGTTCGCACAATACTGCAGATCTGACAACACATAGGGTTGGCTATGTCTTTAAAAAGTCTTAATATCGATGTCTGTTGTATATCAGAGACCAGTATTCAAAACTGTAGTGAAGCACTGAAATTTACTCTCCCTCTGTCACTTCGAAAATCTTGTTTCACGTGCGTCTATCCGGCGACTTTGTGGCATCTTTGTCTAGTTTTGCTGCCGCTGGTATCCCACTAAGCACTGGAAATGAAGCAGTACTGATCGATTGTATCCCTGCCTTTCCCCTGCATCTAAAGCTTGAATTCAGATGTCAGTAAATTGGTCACAGCTTCTGTTACAACTAAATATCAAACGGAGCTAGGTTCAAGGCTAGGTACCAGCCCACCGAAAATTATAGATGAGCATTGACTGTAGTTGCGTGACGCCATAGAAACGGCGAGTAAATTTGATTGTGGTTTCGCGAAGCGTCCCGCTTATAAGCACTGTATTTCTTCAGGCTCCTCACTTACGTTCGTTCCTTTTTTAAAGGTGGTGGTGACTTTTTAGTTGAGGAAGTGACTGAGTTTTTTACAAAGGATCTGGCTATTAGATAGTGCTCCAAAATTTTGGAATGAGTCATTAGTCGTCCTTATGTTTAGGAAGGGTTCACGTCGTTTCTGCAACAACTATCGGAGGATAAGTCTTCTTCCGATCGCGTCAAAAATATTGGCTCTCGTCATTCTTCGTAGATTGTTCAAAACCCGAAAAAATATTGACTCACAATGTGCAGACTGGTTTTCGTTTTGATCATATCTTCACTCTCCGCCAAGTGTTAAAACATCTTTATACTTATCACAACCCATCAATTGTGATGTTTCTTGACAGTAGGACCGCCTTCGATTCGTTGGACAGATCTTCTCTGGGATTGTCAATTGAAGAAGGGCGTGCCTGAAAAGTTTCAAACACTTCAGGTAGAGTGAGAGCATACAATTACCTCTCCCCATTGTTCAATTCAAGCAATGGAGTTAGGAAAGGTTGCAAACTCTCACCATCCCTCTTCAATTTCATTATCGATGACGTTATGAAAACAGCTCTGATGGATGCAGGTAGTGGTGGTGTTGATCAGTTGCCTGGAGAAAGACTTCTCGACCTTGAGTATGCGGGTAATATTGTCTTACTGTGCGACAATATCCAAGTCATGAAATCCTCACTTATTCAGTTGGCAATCAATGTCCGTAAGTATGGTATGTGCTTCCTACCTTCTAAGTGCAAAGTACTTTTACAAAACTGACAGGACCCTGATCCTGCACTCACCCTGGGTAGTTAGCAGATAGAAGTAGTCAAAAAAATTCGTGTTTTTGGGTAGCTGAGTAGTGAAAGCCAGATCGGTTTATCCCACTCTGGGCCATCTTTGGAGCTTTTGTGATGTTCGTCTGGCTGTATAAGGTGGGATGTACTACGCGTTGGTGAGAGCAGTTTTGCTCTATGCCAGTGAAACCTGGTATTTTCGAGTTGAGAATGTTAGACGACCCTCTGTGCTTGATCATCGTCCAGTGGCAACACCAAATTGATAGTGCAGAGGTTCGGCAACGTAAGTTCGGGGCACAGCGACGATTATTCAGTTGGTGTCACCATCTTAAAACACTGACATCGACGGCTCGGGCATGTCCTATGAATGTCGTCCCGGCAAATTCCAGGTCGTGCATTATTTGCCGACGCTGAGACCGGTTGAAATAAGCGGGGTGGTTATTGGATGACATGGCATAAAAGAAAGCTGTATAGGACTGGCTTCTGTTGGTCTTTCGCGACTCCCTGGTTGGGGTTCTTAGAGATGGTGCGGCACAGTGACTTGAGACGTTATCAGACATGGATCAGAATAGAAGCCAGTTGCCATTCTGCTGTAATTTTCTATTACTTCATACAAAATAAATATAACTTCTTTGACTAAAAGAATTCTTTCTGATTGTACTTCACTAAAGGAATTGAAAAATAAAGGTATACTTACTCCTGACACACACGACTCACTCAAACCCACTGGATCGAACACACCGCGACTATATGGTTTACCTAAAGTTCACAAGACTGGTCTTCCTCTTCGCCCAGTTTTAGATATGTATAATTCTCCATATCACAAAACTGCAAAGTGGCTAGTTCGAATCCTTAATCCATTACATTAACTAGTCGTCAACAGAAGCGTGAAGGAAGTCTTCGATTTCATTTCTAAAGTGGAACATATGAATTTAAATGGGAAACGTATGATGTCTTTAGATGTAGCTTCACTGTTTACCAATGTGCCGTTAATTGAGAACATTGATTTTGTGTGCCAACAACTACAGGAAAAACAAATCAATATTGGAATTCCTGAGCTTAGTCTTAAAGAATTAGTTTTAAAATGCACAATGAATGTGCATTTTGTCTTTAATAACACATATCATAGACAAATTGATGGTATAGCGATGGGTTCACCTCTAGGTCCCATCCTTGCGGATTTTTATGGCTAAACTAGAAAACGGACCTCTCAAAGAGGTTATCAATGAGCTTGATTTATATTGTCGTTGCGTTGATGATACTTTCATCATTGCCGATCAGAACATTGGTAAAGAACAACTGCTAGAACGATTTAATAACAAACATCATGCAATTAAATTTACATGTGAAGAGAAAATGGATAATAAACTACATTTCCTTGACGTTTTGTTAAGTAGAAAAGAAAATGGTTCTATCAGCAGAGGTGTGTATAGAAAAAAGCTTTCCAGCCAATACACACATTTTTTAAGCTTTGTGCCTCTTCATTATAAGAGAAACTTAGTCAAATGCTTAGCAAGTAGAGCCATGAAGATATGTTCTGTTGGCACAATTGAAATGGAATTAGAGCAAATTCATAATATGTTGATTGAAATGTGTTATCCACAGGGTTTCTTGAAGAAACACTTGCGTATAACAAACAAGAAGATAGTGACACTAACAGCTAATAAGAAACCTCTTTTCTTGAAGCTGCAATTCAATGGTGATGTATTGCGTGATAGACTGACTGGAGCAGTCAAGAGAACGTTTAATGCTGCCAACCTCTGTCTATCGTATTCGACCCGATCTATGGTGATTCCCCAACTGAAGGACAAGTTACCTGGTTACACCACTTCTATGTGTATCTACGAATTCAGCTGCTCCTGCGGAGAAAGCTATATTGGGCGCACTACCAGGCAACTGAACCAAAGAGTTAGTGAACACCTCCCATCGTGGTTAGGAAAAGGTTACGTAAAGACAATACGCAGCTCAGTTCTTTCACACTTAATCGATAGTGGTCATGTAGTGGATAGAAACAAGTCATTTAAAGTTATCAGAAGGGGTTTTGTGGAGATTGTAGTAATTTCAATGATTAAGATCATGAGTCAGTTGAAGCTAGACCACCATGGAAAACCTGGAGGCACTGGACGGCCGTTTCGTCCTATTATGGGACTCCTCAGCAGTGCGCATCCACGACCTCGCCCCCTGCGAGATTCGAACCCAGGACCTACTGGTTTCGCGCGCCAGCACTTAACCACTAGACCACTGAGCCGGCATCCAACGGTGTTAATGTCTAACTTCAACTAATCCACGAAATTGAGCGACACATCCACCATTGTCTTCAGTGAGTTACTATCCCACAACAGACCTGGTTGAACTCCACTGGTCACTACTTCTCACTAGAACTCCAGGATAAACCTCTTGAAGCCAGTAACTAGTGAGCATATGTTGATTATTATCAGAAGGGGTTTTGTGGAGATTGTAGTAATTTCAATGATTAAGATCATGAGTCAGTTATTTATCATATTCCCAGTAGTTTTCCCTATGGTGTTCGATCTCGTCTCTTACACATAGCAGAAGCTATAGGAATTCGAGCCGTCAAGCCGAGTCTTTGTGTTCAGAAGAAATTTGTAACACCCTTATCTCTCCCTTGGCCTTAATAAATGAATTTATTTATTATTTTCTTTTCAAACCTTTTCGTTTATTAATTCTTCTTCACCCCCTCCTACCATTTTATTTTTCACGGTTCAATTATCTGAACACTTCTCATTACGTCATCTTATAATAATTTTATAAATGTTATCTCACTATCTATATTTTTCTAATCATTGACCTATTTCCGATTATGTAACATTGATTTGAGCCTTTATTATTCTTATAAAAACTAGTACACCTGTCATCACACTATTTGTACTTTTCACATATTATGTAATCGTTTTATTCATCGTTATCATTGATTTATAAACTACCTTGATTGGTTTAATAATTTCGTATATGCATATAAATATTACTGTATATTAGAGTAAAGCCTGAAGAGGATCTAATCGAAAACAATATTGTTCGCTTATATATGTTGTTCTAGATTGTACTTTTGTTAACTGAACTGCCTCTCCCATTATTATTATTTCCATCTCATACACTAATTTCCGTTCGTTGTTCTCTTTTTTCGTATGCTCACTTGACATTCTCTATCTCTTCACAATCTCATTGTTATTGTTTGGCGCAGATGTATTTGGCATCCCCTTGTACCAATGTTTATGTGTTCAAATAAATAAACTCGAAGTTTTGAAATACTACTTGGTGGAATTGAGTACGGAATAAACATCAATAAAATAAATATTCCTTTAGTAATAACATTATTATCACTTATAGATATTGAAGGCGACACTGTTTAATTTATTATTCTTATCTTGTATTTTGACACATGATACATAATGCATGCATCACACCACTTCCTCTTTTGACTTTTGTATCTCTTTTCAATGAAATAAGAAATTACTAATTAGATCTGTTTTTAACGTAAGGGTTTCAGTTTTCCACTTTATTGATTGATATTATGGAATGCATTGGGTCAGTCTATCCACTCAATGCCATCAGCTTATCAATTAACTTTTATATTCCCGATAAATTATCACTACTGTTTATGCCTCAACACAAATTTCAGAAGTTTTCTTTCAAGCCAATTAGATTTCTAAGACTTTGTTTGTATTAAAGTTATATCACTTTTGTAAAGTTAATATTTAAATGTTTTACTTTACAGACTCATCACTGTATATCTAAACTTCCACCTAGAGATGCTAGCATTACGAAATTGTGTTTAGATCCTAATGGTGAATCCATTTATGTTGGCTATTATGACCATTATTTTGGTGAATACAGCTTACAAGTTAGTAGTTCTTATTTATTTCTCTATGAAAAATTCTTTATGTCGGTTTTCCTGTTTTCTGTTTTTCTTGTGAGATAGACACAAATTATCATGATTATTTATCTCTCGATCTTTGCTATAAGAGATATAATTAAAATATAGTCTTCATTTTTCTATGTTGTTGTTTTATTGAACTGTATATGTTTTTCATTCTAATCTGACATCTGGTTAAAATTATATCTTGAGAAGTGCTTCGACAATATTCATTTACTTTCCTTTTCACTGGGATATAAACAAGTGAATATGAGCTATATCTATCTGTATTGTATTTTGAGAGGAAGCATCATTTGATTTCTGTGACTTCTGTAATGACATGAAATCATACATGAAGTAGAAAATCTTTTGAAATAATACCTTGTTTGACCTTTGATTGAACCATTAAGAATGTTTTATTTAGTTTGCGAGAGAGATGCTGAATTATTCTGTTAAACAATCACATGGTATTTTGTCGAATTAAAAATAGACTGACGTTATTCACTGTTGTCAACATTGTACAATATTTTATACTCTGCTATTGGTAACCTGTAACACAAGTCAGTAGGTCGTAGTCATCCCAAAGCCCGCGATAAAATTGTATCAGTTTTATCATATCAGCACCGCGAGATAAAGTGACGAATGTCGATTCTATACTTCTCATAGTTATGAGCTACCGACACTGAAGGTACCACATAATCCTTACTTATTTGATTTTGTTCTTTATTTTTCTACAGACCAGTTTGCTGGTACATAAAAATATTTTTTCTAGTCGTATCGCGGCACTAGCAGTTACCCGATTACCTGAAGTTCCATTTATATTTTTGGGCCTCTTTAACGGTGATATATTGCGTTATAATCCTGGGACACATGCAATCGGTTTTCTATGCCGACACACTACTGGTTGCTACCAATCTGATTTTGCAAATGATAAAACGAAAAATTGTTTCAAACAGAAAGCACAAACTTTGGACTCAAATGAATCGGCTGGTATCACTTCACTGTGTCTTGTTCAATCAGGAACCTCTTTACTGCTAATTGTTGCTGGTTTAGTAGGTTTTCTTTTACAAATTTGACTTAATCCTCATTCATTTCATTTCTTCTGTGTAGGTTAAATGAATATTAATTTGAATGAACAGCTAGGTGGAATTGTGTATTTTATTTTTGGAGTTAAGAACTTCTTACGTTTGGAATCACTAGAATAATAAGGTATTTATTTTATTTTATCTTATTTGAGTACATAAATATTGGTACAAGAGGGCACCAAATATATATACACCATACAAAACAATGAGAATGGGAAGAGAATAAAAGAGCAATAACGACCAGGTTAGTGTAATAATAATGGTGGGGGAAACGTCAAGGTACAACCAGAAGAAATCTTTCAGTTAAAGAAGATACAATCACTTTTTATGGAGAAAGTAAAAGGTTACAACAGGATAGCCTCTGGCTTCTATTCTGAGCCATATATGATAACATCTCTAGCCACTGTGTTGCACCATCTCTCGGACCCCGACCAGGGAGTCGTGAAGGACCAACAGAAGCCAGCCCTTTGCAGCTTTCTTTCATACCACGACACCATGTCATACAGTGACCACCTCTCTGCTTTTTCCAACCAGTCCCAGAGTCGGCAAATAATGCACGACGTGGAATTCTCTGGGACGACATTCGTAGAACATGTCCAAGCCACCGAAGTCGGTGTTTCGAGATGGTGACACCGATTGGATTATCGTCTCTGAGCCGGAACACACGATACTGAACCTCTGCATCACTAACATGGTGTTGCCACTGGATGTCAGCAATCCTTCGGAGACAACGATGATCGAACACAGAGTCGTCTAACGTCCTCAACTCGGAGAGGCCAGGTTTCACAAGCATGGAGCAAAACTGCTCTCACCGTCGCGTTGTAGATCCGAACTTTTACAGTCAGACTGACATCACGAATGCGCCGTAACACTATGTAGCTTGTGATTTTTTCCCAACATTTGTATACCCAAACAAAATATGGGAGTTAATTTCAAATATGTTACTCTACATAGTAATAGTAGCCTTTCAAATAACTAATCTTATTCCATCTATCTTTTCTATTCCAAATTTTAGGACCGATCTATTTCCATCCGCTCAGCCAGCGATGGTACATTAGTGTTTTGCATCCAGAGTTCTGTCCAAAAGGGACCACCACAAGATATATCATGTTTACCCAAAGGCTCATTTTTCTCATCCTATTCTGATCGTTCCATTCGCATTTATAATTGGAAGGTAATTATAAAAGTTGATGCATTAAGATTATGTTTGTTTATCATCAGTTTCTATCTGTTGCTAAAATTTTCATCCGACAGAACGTTAATAAATTAATCAACGAAATTTTATGTTTATTAAAAATCAATTTTACTACACGTAGTAATATGTTGTTTGTGTTACTCTACTAAAATTGCAGTTCCTCAATGACTTGAACATTTTTTCTATAACAAGTGAAGTGATTCTGTTATAATTCTCTCTTATGTCCTGCTAACAAAGTCGAAGACTACTGAGTTTGTAACTGTGAGACTTTATTCAGCTTTTCACATGAACTGCAATCATAACTGAGTATCTCATAAGAATATACTCCAGTAACCTCAGTTGATATAACTTAACAACCTAATCTTGTTTTATACTTCTTAACCCGAAGGTGATAATAATTTTGACCGTTGCTGGTGCTTTTTTTATTTTTTTGCCACGGCTAAGACGTCACACTTTCTGAAGACTGTTCACTAGAATATTCCCATTCAACTCTGTCATAGGTATCATATCTACAAAAGAAGCTCCAATTGTTCAGCTTTTCTAAAATTGTTATCAAATTTAGATGATGTAATCCAATGGGATTTACAGATGCTATTGTTGTAGTAGATGAAAACTTTGGTTAAATACAGGAACGTCTGAACATCTTGGGTGGTAACATGAGAATGTCGATACCTAGTTTTGCATTAAATAAAAACATTTGGTCATTCTAGATGGTTCATTTATTGATATTTTTTAGTTCAACTCTAGTGAATGATGAAATTTGCCAGGTGTAAACAACTGAGCCATTCAGCCTTTTTCAAGTATCAGTTACGGGATATTTTAAGATGAGATCAGTTTTCAGTGTCTCTTGAAGTTTCAAATGGCTAAAACTTCCCAGTCTTCCTCACTGTCAAACTGGGTTTATGAATGGTCTTGAAAACACTGAAGTATTATGTGCATTCTTGTCTGCATTAGGGCATTACCACGAAAACTATAAGTTAACGATTGCTTAATGCTAGTATTCCACAACTTTCTATTCATTTATGGGATATATTTCAGAGTATCGTAATGTAAATTTTATTTCCATTAGTCAATAAACCTGTATTTTAGTAGATAAAGTAGTCGACTCTTAGGTACTCCGATTTGGCTCGAACTCGGTTCTGCTTACTTTGAACCGGACATAAGATGTTTTCAATAATTATACCACTAAAAGTATGGCAGAAACTTGTACCTGGTTAACAAATTATGTTGCAATTATCGGTTAATTTCCGTTTTTAATTGCTACCTGTTCGTTGAATCATATATAATGTCAAGAATTGTCCTATTTTAATTTTCTTGTTCTCTCTTTTTCTTTTATTTGTCAAGACTGGATCTTCCGAATTAACCTTCCATGTTCATAAAATAACTAGTTCTTGTGTAATGCAACGCTATATTGCTGTAGGTGATTCAGAAGGCGCAGTTCGTGTTTACAGATTTCAAGTAAGTTGAAATATTTGATGAAAATGGATTTAGTTTAATAATGCATTTTATTTAATATATTCATCCTGCCACTAAATCTTCTCAAGTAATTGTATTTCCTGTTTGCTCTATCAACACCAAACTTTAAAATTAAAATAAACTGTTTGACTAGTTAACCTTGACTTCCTTAGTCATGTAATATTAAGTGTGGATTACTTTTCATAGTCAACTATTTTCACACTGTGCTCATTTTTTAAATTAGAACAACACATATAAGCGAAAAATATTGTTTCAATTTAAATCTTCATCAAATTTTACTCTAATATACGGTAATATTTATATGCATATACAAAATTACTAGACTAATCAAGACACTTTAGTCAACTAGAGATAGATAAGTAGTGGTAAATTACATAACTAAACTTGATAAATACTAGTTTCGATGAGAATAACAAAGGCTTGAAACCATGCCTCATAAGGAGAAATAGGTCAATAACTTGACAAACTGTAGATGCTGAAATAACATTTCTAAAAACTATAAGATTACGCAATAAAAAGTGTTCAACTGATTAGACAATGGAGCATATTTTTTATAAAAAATGAATAAAGAGGGATAAAGGAAAATTGACGAAAAGACAGTATGAAAAATAATAACCAATGAAATCTTTGTTTAAGGCAAATTCAAGCAACGAAGAGCTTAAGATGTTCAGTCAGTAACAACGTGGAACTTCGTACGTACGTACATCAGTCCGAGTTGCCACACCACATTAGCACAGAGATTCAGTTATCGATTCAAATCCCGTAGTGGTAGAGGTAGTGAAAGTATAAGTAGTGATAGGGAACACTAGGGTTTGATGATGTTATTTAAGGAGTATAGTCCAGTGGAATAGATTCGGAAAGAAAATAAAGGACATGAAGAATTCAGAAGATTAGAGTTTGAGAGTGGATGCACCTGCTCCATTGCAAACGATTTTGAGCCATGTCATTCAAGGTCTCTAACCATCGGTTGCTATCATCTCGCGGTCTCCAACCAAGTAGTCTACACCTACCAACATGACTCAGTCCACTTGTCAGAGACTTCATGGATTTGTGCCATGTTTTGGTCTGGCCGCCCCTAGCTTTCTTCCAACCTACTCCTATACCATAAAACATCACATGTCGGGGCAGTCGGTGGTTGTGTATACGTAACACGTGTCCCAGAAATCTCAACTGATGAAATTTCACTACTTCATCAATTGGTTTGCCATCCTTACCTAGTACCCGTTTCCTAACAACTGCATTACTTACTCGGTGGTCCCAGGATATACGAGCAATGCTTCGAAGACACCTATGGTCAAATACTAGTAACCTACGAATATCCTCTACTCTTACTGGCCAGTGAAGCGGTCGACACGCTCAACTACTTCACTCCCTATCACTAGTTCGGGTGTCGATGCAACCCAATCCTGAAACAACATTTTGCATTTCGAGGGAGAAAATCGCATGCCGAACATGCTTGCATTGTTGCTTAGAGTGGTCAGCAGACTCTGCATTCTGTCAGCGTCTTCACCAAATAGATCTATGTCATCGGCATACTCTTAGTCAACAAGTGAATCTTTCGGTAGAAGTTCAACCCCTGGAAAGTCAGATGTGGAAAGTGTTATTTCTAAAAGCACGTCAATGACAAAGTTAAACAGGAATGGAGAGAGTGGACAGCCCTAACGAACACCACTTGAGGTAATCAGTTCTGATGACAGTTCACCATAAGCTCTCACTCGACCAGTTGTGTTCGAGTAGAGAGCCTTTATAAAGTTGATGTACTTCTTTAGTACTCCTTTCAGAGACAAACACTGCCATAGGACCTCATGATCAACAGAGCCTTATGCCGCCTTAAGGTCGAGAAATACTACCATTGTGGGACTTCTGAATGTGTTTCTATGTTCTAGGACCTGACGTAGTGTGAACATCTGATCTATACAACCACGTTCAGGTCGGAAACCAGCCTGGTTTTCTCTAGTCTGCTCTTCACGAGCTTTGGTTAGACGTCGAAGTATTATTGAAGCTAATATTTTAGACACTATATTAGTCAAACTAATTCCTCTGTGATTGTCACAGGAGGACTTTTGTCCTTTCTTATAGACTGGCACAATCAGTGATTGGGACCAGTCAGATGGGATTACGTCCAGTTCCCAGATTCTACCTAAGACCTCAGTCAATCTCGCTGCTAATACTGGACCGCCATCCTTAAAAATCTCAGAGGTAAACCCGTCAGGGCCTGCTGCTCTCCCACGCTTTAGATTACCTATAGCTTTTTCAACTTCGTAAAGAGTCGGAGGACTTACATTAACTTGCCATTCAGGTCGACTGGAGATCGTGGGAAACCGAAGTGTGGCTGAAGGCCAGTTGAACTGATCCCTAAAGTGTTCTGCCCATCGGTCCAATCTCCTGGATTGAGAATGAATATGTTCATCTTTCTCTGCGATTGTTTCGCTAACAGTTGGGTTCCTAATACCGGTTTCCTTAACAAGTCTGAACAGTTGCCTGCTGTTACCTATTGCCGCTGCCTTTTCAATCTCTCTTGCTTTCGCTACCTACCACTGTTCACGATCATTGCGTAAGCTTCTAGTCAGCTTACGCTTAAGCTGACTCCGCTCTTCGTTATGTTCAGAGCCAGATGTAATGACTTTTGGAGCATCTATCAGTGCGGTAGACGCTACTGAGATCCAGTGTTTCTCCCTAACCTTATGGTTTAGCTTACTAGCAGATATCACTTCTGTTTCCATAGCTTTTCGGATGTCACTCCTCGCTGCCTCGGAGCGGGCATCACTTGGCTGCCTAATTTTTTCTAGTTATTCCTGAAATGTACTCTTAGCTTGACTATCATTAAGTAGGACCCTAAGGGGTTTCCTTGTAGCATGTTTCCTACGTCCAGTAAGACGTAGACAAATACGCGCCGGTTAGCATTGCGCGCCGTGGTAATCGGTGTTCAGGCATACGTAACACGTGGCCCAACCATCTCAGTCGATGAAGGTTCAGAACCTCATCAACTGATTTACCATCATTTCCTAATACCCTGCGTCTAACCTCACTATTACTTACCCGGTGATCCCAGCAGATACCCGCAATATTTCTAAGGCACCTGTGGTCAAATACTAGTAACTTACGAATATCTTCTACTCTTAAAGGCCATGTTTCGCAGCCGTATAGTAGAACGGAACAAACTGCCGCGCAGTATACTCGTCCCTTAATTAATAGACGGATATCTCGCCTTCGCCATAAATGACGTAAGTTGTCAAAGGCCAAACGAGCTTTTCGAATCCGTGCTGAGATTTCGTTAGACACCAACCCATTAGGGTTGATCAGACTTCCAAGATAAGTGAAGTTGTTAACGCGTTCGACTACTTCACCCCCTATCCTTAGTTCAGGTGTTGACGCAGACCAGTCCTGAAGCAACAACTTGCATTTAGAGGGAGAGAAGTGCATCCCAAACATTCTGGCATTGTTGCTCAGTGCTACCAAAAGATTCTGCATTTCATCAGCGTCTTCACCAAACAGGACTATGTCATCTGCGTATTCTAAGTCAATAAGTGGACCTCCAGGTAGGAGATCAATACCCGAGAATTCAGTCGATGAGTGCGTTATTTCCATCAGTAGATCTATGATGAAGTTGATCAAAAATGGAGAAAGTGGACAGCCTTGGCGGACGCTACTTGAGGTTGCGAAAGCAGATAACAGTTCGCCATAAGCTCTGACTCGACTAGTAGTGTTCGAGTAAAGAGCCTTCACAAAGTTTATGTACTTCTGAGGTACGCCTTTCAATGACAGACACTGCCACAGAACCTCTTGGTCAACAGAGTCAAATGCTACTTTGAGGTCAAGGAAGACCACCATTTTCGGACGCCGATAAGTATGCCTGTGTTTTAGAACCTGACGAATGGTGAATATATATGGTCGATGCAGCCACGACCAGGTCTGAAGCCAGTCTGATTTTCTCGTGTTTGCAGTTCATGAGTCTTAGTTAGGCGTCCGATAATTATCAAGCTAATATTTTCGATGCTATATTAGTCAAACTAATCTCACTATGGTTATTACAGGATGATTTTGACCCTTTCATATATATTTGGAACGATTAGTGATTGTGACCGGTCAGAGGGGATTACGTCCAACTTCCAGATTTTAGCTAAAATATTAGTCAACCTAGTCTCTAGAATTGGATCACCATCCTTAAAGACCTCTGGAGCCAATTTATCTGGACCAGCTGCCCTTCTTCGTCTCAGATTAACTATAGCTTTTTGAACTTCAGCTAGAATCGTTTATTTATATTATTATTTATTTATTTTAACACATAAGTGTAGGTACAGGGAGGCACCAAGTACATATGCGCCACACGAATCTCAATTGATTTGTGTGAGGGCTGTGATACTGCCCGGGTGCCCAAACCGAAGCATGTGGTTTTCTTAGGGGGCCACATCCCGAGCCTTTGACCTGAAGATCTGATCCACAAGGCAGTGGAGCATCGTGAGGAGATGCAGTCCCATGGTAGCCGGTGACCAACGATTGGTTCATACGCCATTTGTTCCCGCAGGATACTGGAGCCCATGTGCACCATTGGTTTGGGGTCCGGTTAAAGCGCCAGACATTCGCTTTTCGTCCTCTCATTTTTGTAAACAACACCCCCGCCACGAGAAGGCAGTGAGTAGGACTTCCCTGGCAGAGGCTATATACGCATGGCCATGTGAGAGCATTTCGAGAGGGAGAGCGGACTCTCCCCACTCTCGGCCGTACCAGGGCATTTGGGGGCTAGAATCGTTAGACCTACTTCAATGTTCCATTCATATTATCTAGGAATGGAGGATAGTTGTAGAATAGCTGAAGGCCAGCTGAACTGCTCCTTAAAGAGTTCCGCCCATCGTTCTAAACCTTTTTACTGCTGCCGTCACGAATAGAATGAAATGACGGGAGCAGATGAGAGTGTTATCTTTTTCCGGAATAGTTTCACTTACACTTGACATATTAGTTCCGGTTTCTTTTACGAGTCTGAAAAGTTGGTTTGTGTTAACAACAGCCGCCGCCTTTTCCATATCTTTTGTTTTCGTTGCCCACCACTGCTCACGGTCGTTTCTCAGACTTTTATTTATCCTAGATCTGATTTGTTTTCGCGCTTTATCGTGTTCAGAGCAACATCTGGGTCGGCCTCGTTTTCAGAACTACATAAATATGACCTCAGTTGTTCCTGAAACCTACTTTCGGTTTTCTCGTTACTCAATTTAAATCCAATGGATTTTTTTAGTGTGGCTTTTCTGCGTCTAGTGAGGCGCGAACAGATGCGTTCCCGCATTAGAGCATGGTCGGGGTTCAAGCAGGTATTGCAGAATGAGTGACAATCTTGTATCGACCCTCTCCAACGATGACTGGTGGCAATATGGTCTATTTGAGTCCATCGTTGGTTTGGTGCAGAGGGTCTCCATGTCAGACGACTTCCCTCCTTATACTCAAAACCAGTGTTTATCAGAAATAAACAATTGTCTGAGCACAGTTGCAGCAGGCGATCACCATTATCTGTTCGCCGTACCGGAATACTAAAATACCCACCTAAATGTCTTTCTGTTTGGTTTAATCTACCTTCCTGGGCATTAAGGTCACCTGCTACGGGTACCATATCTGAATGAAACACCTTACTGTTGTCACACCTCTGTACCGTCAGCAGTACGACTTCGCCTTCGGACCTTGAATTTGTTGCTTTTAGTATTATCGCTCTTCAACTGACCTATGTGGCATGGTAGGACCTTGAGGAACGGTTGTTCCAGCCATTATAGCTCGGTTGCTTCATCATGATAGGCATGCCCGACCACCACGTCAAGGTAGCAAAAACGGTAGGGAAACTGTTCAAGTAATAATGATACTTTATGGTAGAATTTGTCTGATATCAGTTGATTGTGCAATCGTTCAATATTCAGTTACATCTTTTATACAATATTATAAAGCAGTCATTAAGCTTCTGTCGATACTTAAAATGGTGTGAGTAGCTTGTACTCCGATGATCTACACACAACTTTAATCAAAAACCTGTAGGTTAACTGGTAATTTATTTAATTTAATATCAGACTGGTTCTAATTGATTAGAAATAAGATATTTATGTGCCACCTTTAAAGAAATTGATCTTAGTTCTTGAATTTGTAAGATTTAAGACTTGTTGTCTTTTTGAAGGCGACCTTTCCATAAATCTAACTTTGAAAAGGTTAGATTTTAACCTTTGAATTCTGAGATTCATGTTAAATGAGTATGATCAAATATAATTTGGTAAAAAGTTACACCTATATATATATATATATATATATATATATATATATATATCATGGAAATCAGGACAGTCTAGCTTAACTGTCCTTCGAACAACTGTCTATCATCCAAGACGTCGACCAAACTCCTTGCAACCAGTGACTCAGATGAGTTGAAAGAGCTTCCGGCAGTTACCAGATGCAGCTGCTGCTTCCAACTCGTTGGCACGCTCCGACCAGCAGGCTTCTTGATCATTACACAAGCTTCGCCTAATTTCATTACGCAACAGACTTCGTTTGTGAACAAACTCGCGGTCACCTGCAGTAGACTGACCGGCTTCAATAAGTTGTGAGGAGCCTGAAGAAATACAGTGCTTATAAGCGGGACGCTTCGCGAAACCACAATCAAATTTACTCGCCGTTTCTATGGCGTCACGCAACTACAGTCAATGCTCATCTATAATTTTCGGTGGGCTGGTACCTAGCCTTGAACCTAGCTCCGTTTGATATTTAGTTGTAACAGAAGCTGTGACCAATTTACTGACATCTGAATTCAAGCTTTAGATGCAGGGGAAAGGCAGGGATACAATCGATCAGTACTGCTTCATTTCCAGTGCTTAGTGGGATACCAGCGGCAGCAAAACTAGACAAAGATGCCACAAAGTCGCCGGATAGACGCACGTGAAACAAGATTTTCGAAGTGACAGAGGGAGAGTAAATTTCAGTGCTTCACTACAGTTTTGAATACTGGTCTCTGATATACAACAGACATCGATATTAAGACTTTTTAAAGACATAGCCAACCCTATGTGTTGTCAGATCTGCAGTATTGTGCGAACGTTGAAGGAGGCCAGTTTGAATCACTCAGTCGGCTAAAACGTAGGATCAGGCACGTATATGGATTGGTCCGGGTTACCACGCCTCATTAGCACAAGATGAACAACTAATTCATAGAAGTAGTTATAATGATACGATACATGCAGAAAGGATTAATTCGTAGAAAGAAAGGCTTAAAGTAACTTTAATCTCACGGTTTAAGGGAAGACAAAGAGTGTATACACCTACGACATTTCGGTCGATTCTGAGCCATGTTACCCAGATTTTTTAACCACTGGTTATGATAGTCGCGCGGACGGATATCTCGCCTTCGCCATAGGTGACGCAAGTTGGCAAAAGCCAAACGAGCTTTCTGAATCCGTGCAGAGATTTCGCCAGACACCAACCCATTAGGACTGATCAGACTTCCAAGATAAGTGAAGTTGTCGACACGTTCGACTACCTAGAGGTCTAATTCATAAAGTAGTGGATCAAAGTCAGGAGATGCAGTCCCATGGTAGCCGTATCCACCAACCCGGTTAAAGCGCCGGACATTCACTTTTCGTCCGCTCAATTGCGTAAACAACACACCTGACATGAGAAGACAATAAGTAGGATTTACCTGGTAGTGGTTGTATACACAAGGCCATGTGACAGTATTTCGAGAGGGAGAGAGGGAAAACTCTCCCCACCATCGGTCGTACTAGGGGAATTGAGGAATATATTATTTATGTAATAAAAAATAGTAATGAGATAATATATATGATGTACAACAGACATCGATATTAAGACTATTTTAAGAAATAGCCAACCCTATCTGTCGTCAGATCTGCAGTATTGTGCGAATGTTGAAGGAGGCCAGTTTAAGTGTGATATGTGGTTTCCAAAGGGCTGATTCGGATTTCCTATTGGTCGGTGTCATTTAACTTTCGATCATTCAGTGACTTGAAAACATTTACCCGCTTTATGGCCTCCAAATGCCCTGGTACGGTCGAGAGTGGAGAGAGTCCGCTCTCCCTCTCGAAATGCTCTCTTATGGCCACGCGTACATAGCCCCTTCCAGGGAAGTCCTACTCACTGCCTTCATGTGGCGGGGGTGTTGTTTACGAAAATGTATTGTATCTCATAGAAGTCACTGTTACTTCGTCATGGTCTTTATCCTAAAATTTACTTATCAAATATTATTAACCGTTCGCTCAGTATGAAATACAAATATGGCATGACAAAGGTGTACAGTATAAGTTTTACGTGACCAGTTGTATAAATATTCTATCTACCATCCCATGTGATGCCCCCACTTATTAAGGTCATCAACTAGTATATTTATCCTCTGAGTAGCAATATTTTATGTCTTGAAAAATCATTCAACTGAACCCAAGATTGATTTTTTTTAACAGCTGGCGTGTTATTTTAATTTGATATTTCAAAGCTTATATGCCTAGCCGTTTCTATTTCTTGATAATTAGAAATCTATTCAACAGCAAAAACTAGGTACTCAGAAGCAGAATAAATTTTGAAACAATATAAAAAGCATACGTACTACTCATACACTCTACCAAACTTACTATTGTTTCGATCGACCCCACAGAACATGCTGAAAGCACACTTTATCCACAAAAATATCTGGATGTGGTTGGGTCAGCTGTCAATATTCAACATTATAAGTGTTAGAAAGTGTATTTCCATTAATTTTTATTAACTGAGAATGTGGAGTCTGATTTTTGTGCTTTTATAAGGAATAGGTCGCATGATTTCTCTATTCATCTTCGTTTCTGATGGGTACATCTCAGAAAAGATTAGCCGTTCTTATGTGCAATGCAAACTTTGAATTCCATACTAAGATTGTACATCACCAAACGTTAGCAAATAGAAGTGAAGTGGTATTTTTGGAATACTGGTAGATGGAACAAGATGATATATACACGAAATATATTGGTTATAAATGAAGCAAAAATGTTTTCCGTCAATCTGGTAGTTCCTTTAACTTTATGCCTTTTCTCTTGTATTCTCAATTTCGTTTTTAGTCAAATGGATTGCCTGTTACGCGACCAGTGAAAGTCTACTTCATATCTACTCGAGGAGCAGTTACTTCACTTGCATCTGTGGGAGACACTGTAAGTTAATTGTAAGAAATCTACATGCTTTTTTATTTTGATTGCAATGCTTATTGGTTAAATCGCTTAGCTTTCAGTCACTGACTTCAAAATCCCCCGAACTTACTTTGGTTTTAGCAATCTCTTATTATTAGCAGCTTTCAAACTTTGAGTGTACTACAAATCAAATGTAGTTAATGGTTTACATAAAATTATTGTTATATATTGGTGGCTAAATCTGTGAAATTGAGCAATTTTGTTAAACAATTGTTCATGTGATTCGCTTGTTAAAATGCTACACTTGCCATGTTAACCTACTGATGATGTCATGGAAGATAACAGATATCCACCTACTCTCCAGTTTTTAAACATTAGAATATACATGTTTGTCATCAATATTTGATTGTAACGGTGACACATGGTCGGGTTCTTTAGTTAAAACATATAGTTATTTATAAAGGAAGTATGTCACTTTGTTGTAAATATCATCTGGCTTTCACTCATACTTTTTTTCTACTGTATTTAGCTAATCGCAGGTAGTTTAGATGGATCTGTTACTGTTATCGTAGTCAATGAACCAGCTTCAAATTACGTTTGTTTGGTGAGTTTTGGCAAGTTATCTTCATTATTTTACTGAACAACGATATTACCGTATAAGTAATTTTTATGCTTCATAGACGCATCGGGTTCGCTATACTAGCTACTGCGGAAGTAGATTTAAAAAAGTCTAAGAATGGCTATATTAATAAAGTGACCAAATGTTGTTTGAAGAATTATCGTGCGTTTTACGCTTCTTGTTCAGAGTCCGTAGTATAATCGTTATCAATAGTTAGTGAATAAACAATTTATTTCGAAGTTGGTTATAGCCGCACATTTATAGCTAGAAATACTACGATTTAAAACAATTCTACATTTTCTAATCATAAAAAGTTGTAAAAAGGCCCAGTTCATTTTAAAAGTGTGATCACTCAATACATGCACATATTCTGATCACACATATGCCAAGTTATGCGAAAGTAGGGTAAGTGCATCTAGGATAAATAGAATAAAGAAAACAACATACTATCAATAGCGAAATAAAATAAATATTAGTCATGGATACGTAACAAACATCCCGACCGTAGCTGCTACCTTGACGTGGTGGTCGGGCTTGCCTATCGTGATGACCCAACCGAGCTATATTGGCTGGAACACATGTTCCTGCAGGTTCTACCATGTCAGGCAGATCCATTGGAGAACGGTAAAACTAAAAGCAGCAATTCAAGGTCTGAGGGCGAAGTCGTACTGCTGACTGTAGAGGGGTGTGACAGCAGTAAGGTGTTTCCCTCGGACAACCAGCATCTGCAGCGATGCTGCCTTCTCACAAGGAAGGAAGGGGTTAGAAAAGGTTGACCCTAAAAATGTCACACCTCAGCTTACCCCACGGATTTCCGTCTCCGGCGGTAAGGCCCTTCGAACAACGAGCTAACACATCAAGAATCTCCCACGAAAAGGCCGCGCGCGACCGGCTTCAAGCAGTTGTCCCTCGGGCTCTGTGGTCAAGCTCCCAGGTCTTCAAGACCAACACTAGTCCGATTTCCTTTTCAGGTCCCTCAAGAAATACCCTTCCACGGTGTGGGTAGCCGGGAAGTGACATCAGCCCTCATACCCGTAACAACACACGAGACCAAGTTGGTCACATTCAAATCCTTCCTACACCTCCTAATAACTCTCTTATCTCCACGACTAACCATTCTCACGTCCCTTTATCACCTCGCCCCGCTAGAGCAAACAATTCGAGTTCGCGGAACTTTATTCCTAGTCTCCTGAAACCACGCTCCAAACTACACGTAGGAGTTTTCAACATCCGAACACTGTGCCAAATAGGACAACAGGCTTCCTTAGCTAGAACTTTGGAATCTCGCGCTATCGATCTGTGCTGCGTCTCCAAAACGCGCATACAGAATCCGAGTAGTGTCATTCATTTGACCGCACCATGTCAAAATAACGAACCAACTCGATTTACGCTTCGTGTATCTGGAAGCCCTGATGCTGCTTCCCGTGGCCTCGCTGGCGTAGGTATAGCATTGAGTCCTAGGGCAGAACTAGCTCTCTTAGACTGGATCCCAGTAGACAGTCGTTTGTGCGCTGTCCGACTAAACGGAACAGTAAGGACTCGAAAAGATAGGGACACTCGTCGTTGCCTCTTCGTCGTCTCTGCCTACTCTCCCACTGACTGCAGCTCAGATGATGTGAAAGATGAGTTTTACCGAAAGCTTTCCGACCTTCTCCGAAAAGCTAGGCGTTCAGATGTAGTAATATTGGCTGGTGACTTTAATGCTCAACTAGGTAAACTAAGCGAAAAGGAAAGACACCTGGGTGGATCTTATGGTGTCGCGGCTCAAAGAACAGATAACGGCGACCGTCTGTTGCAGCTATGCTCAGATAACCGCCTGTTTCTTGCAAATACTAACTTTAAGCATAAGGAAAAACATCTATTAACATGGCGACCCCCTAATTCGTCTCAACGCTGGACCCAAATAGATCACATCGCTATCAGCCACCGATGGAGGGGCTCGATAGAAGACTGTCGCTCATTCTGGAGCACATGCTTAGACTCAGATCATGCTCTAGTGCGAGCGCGTATTTGTCTACGTCTTACTGGACGTAGGAAAGATGGTGCAAGGAAACCCCTTAGGGTCCTACTAAATGATAGTCAAGCTAATAGTACATTTCAGGAATAACTAGAAAAAGTTAGGCAGCCAAGTGATGCCCGCTCCGAGGCAGCGCAACAATCTCAGAGAAAGATGAACATATTCATTCTCAATCCAGGAGATTGGACCGATGGGCAGAACACTTTAGGGATCAGTTCAACTGGCCTTCAGCCACACTTCGGTTTCCCACGATCTCCAGTCGACCTGAATGGCAAGTTAATGTAAGTCCTCCGACTCTTTACGAAGTTGAAAAAGCTATAGGTAATCTAAAGCGTGGGAGAGCAGCAGGCCCTGACGGGTTTTACCTCTGAGATTTTTAAGGATGGCGGTCCAGTATTAGCAGCGAGATTGACTGAGGTCTTAGGTAGAATCTGGGAACTGGACGTAATCCCATCTGACTGGTCCCAATCACTGATTGTGCCAGTCTATAAGAAAGGACAAAAGTCCTCCTGTGACAATCACAGAGGAATTAGTTTGACTAATATAGTGTCTAAAATATTAGCTTCAATAATACTTCGACGTCTAACCAAAGCTCGTGAAGAGCAGACTAGAGAAAACCAGGCTGGTTTCCGACCTGAACGTGGTTGTATAGATCAGATGTTCACACTACGTCAGGTCCTAGAACATAGAAACACATTCAGAAGTCCCACAATGGTAGTATTTCTCGACCTTAAGGCGGCATAAGGCTCTGTTGATCATGAGGTCCTATGGCAGTGTTTGTCTCTGAAAGGAGTACTAAAGAAGTACATCAACTTTATAAAGGCTCTCTACTCGAACACAACTGGTCGAGTGAGAGCTTATGGTGAACTGTCATCAGAACTGATTACCTCAAGTGGTGTTCGTTAGGGCTGTCCACTCTCTCCATTCCTGTTTAACTTTGTCATTGACGTGCTTTTAGAAATAACACTTTCCACATCTGACTTTCCAGGGGTTGAACTTCTACCGAAAGATTCACTTGTTGACTAAGAGTATGCCGATGACATAGATCTATTTGGTGAAGACGCTGACAGAATGCAGAGTCTGCTGACCACTCTAAGCAACAATGCAAGCATGTTCGGCATGCGATTTTCTCCCTCGAAATGCAAAATGTTGTTTCAGGATTGGGTTGCATCGACACCCGAACTAGTGATAGGGAGTGAAGTAGTTGAGCGTGTCGACCGCTTCACTGGCCAGTAAGAGTAGAGGATATTCGTAGGTTACTAGTATTTGACCATAGGTGTCTTCGAAGCATTGCTCGTATATCCTGGGACCACCGAGTAAGTAATGCAGTTGTTAGGAAACGGGTACTAGGTAAGGATGGCAAACCAATTGATGAAGTAGTGAAATTTCATCAGTTGAGATTTCTGGGACACGTGTTACGTATACACAACCACCGACTGCCCCGACATGTGATGTTTTATGGTATAGGAGTAGGTTGGAAGAAAGCTAGGGGCGGCCAGACCAAAACATGGCACAAATCCATGAAGTCTCTGACAAGTGGACTGAGTCATGTTGGTAGGTGTAGACTACTTGGTTGGAGACCGCGAGATGATAGCAACCGATGGTTAGAGACCTTGAATGACATGGCTCAAAATCGTTTGCAATGGAGCAGGTGCATCCACTCTCAAACTCTAATCTTCTGAATTCTTCATGTCCTTTATTTTCTTTCCGAATCTATTCCATTGGACTATACTCCTTAAATAACATCATCAAATCCTAGTGTTCCCTATCACTACTTATACTTTCACTACCTCTACCACTACGGGATTTGAATCGATAACTGAATCTCTGTGCTAATGTGGTATGGCAACTCGAACTGATGTACGTACGTACGAAGTTCCACGTTGTTACTGACTGACTGACGTAACAAACATCATTTCTTTTTGAAATTATGTAGCTTTGGTGCGGGGATCTGTAGGGACCTGAAGTAAAATGTCATTAACTAAAACGAATAAGATTGCTTTGGGTTTAGACATAAACAAATTATATTTGGGATAGATTGCTTGAATATCTTACATTCACACATGTCTGATCATGAAATCATACTGTAGAAACACCAGGCATGAAATGCTAGTTTGGCTACTGTGCTTTTTATCCTTTGATGGCGGTTAGTGGTTATTTGAAATTTATCAGAAAATTAGTTCACAAATATCTTATTCTTTCCAAAAGTTCTTATCAAATCTATTTAAAAATTAGTCGACTATTCCAACTTTTACAAAGTTACGATGTTAAGATTTTGTTTGACTAAGCTGTGAATGAGTTTTTCTTACCAAATTATCCGAACCCATTAACTAGGATTTTTGAGTAAGCTCATACATTTACTTCGCTAATAATCGCTGATATTACCAAAATACTATTCATACATTTGGATTTTTTGTTTTCTGAATAAAACTGTGGAATGTGACCAATTTTGTTTATGTAGCATAAAGTCTTACGTTTACCTTTTTTAAACTATTTCAAGTACGGAAGAAAATATGGAGAAAACTGTGGTATCGGCTTCATGGATCGTCGTGACCTTATTAATCATGTGCTTAATGAACACTTTAAATTTGAAAGTAATAAAACAGTAATGTGTGGATGGAGTTCAGGTCGTTGCAGGGTTCGATTCACTGAAACACAAACTATGAAGGTAAGTTAAACTGTAATATACAAGTGGCATTTAAAAATTAGAACCTCAATCCATGCATCGGTCACACAGTTACGAACTCCAATCATATTCGTTTCGATACATCGACAGTGCTGTCAGTTTTCATCAGTCTAGTCATCCCCTGATAAATATATTGACTGTTGCTATTCTCATGGAATGTAGCTCTTAAAGGAATACAGCTTATTCCGATTGGAGGAAAAATGTTTCCTACTAATTATATCACTCTGAGATCATTGTCACTTTACTTGAAGATGTTATATTTTGATTTCTATTATGTACAAAGTGAAACACTTCACAAATAAATGCATCTAATACATTTTCCAGGTAGACTTCAAATTTTTTCATAGTGATCTACTGAATCTATTTTGGCGTACTACATCATCTGTTATATCTAGTTTTTCTTAGGATAATAGGTCAAAAGCATGGCTGAATAAACCAACGATTTCTACTGTTTCAGCAATTATTATTGGTATTCATCGCTTGATGTGTTGTGAAACCGATAAAAACGAGTATCATTGTAACTTGATATAACCACAGTTTTGTGTTACTAGATTTACTTATGATAAAAACGGATACCCTACTGTTTTTTTTTGTATTTATTCATTACTTAAGAATTTTTAGAATAGAATAACCGATACATGATACACTCGAACAAACTGAATTTACAATTTATTTGTATAAATTAGAATAAAGATTACTACTGAACAGTAATTCTTGTCAGCGATATGCATCTTTCATAACTTAAAACACTTTATATTTTTTTCAGTCCATAAGCGATCATCTGTTAACTCACATACCCGACTAATTGATTGTATTCAGAAAAAAACGGCGAATTCAAATCATTTTTATTGTGGATTTCTATGTACAGCAGAAAAAATTATTGAACTTGGTTTCATGTATATTCACAATAAAAAAGTAGCATTTTGTACATTCTTACTGATGGATTCTTTTCCTATACAGTCTTTTCATGTTTTATTGTCCAAAGTTTGCCATACGAGATAAGATGTCTTGTTCGAATGTTTCGAAGTTAGACTTAAAATAAATAAAAAGTGTATACGATATATAGGTTAGTATGGAAACCGATACATATGTAATTGCACTTGTCTTTTCTTACAAACAACCGTACATTAACTAATCACCGGCTAGTGATAATCGTATTCTGTCAATCGAGTATTAATTTGGGCACTAGTCTTAGCTATGTTTTAATATTGAGTGGTTTAATTTAGTTGACAAGAAACCCTGAACCTAGGCAGATGTTTCATCGAGCATTTGAACTGGGGTTCCAAGTTGACGATATATACGGACAAATTCTAGAAAATGAATATTATGTCTTGTAATTTACTGTTCTACTCATGAAAAACTACCTTCATATTACATTTAAGAAACAAAAACTTCATAATTTAAAGTACCTTAATAATAGTTTTTGTAAGCTAAACAAACTTTCAGTGATTGGATTGTGAATACTAATTGTCGCAAACGTTGACTCACTAGGACCTCCAGAAAAGTACCATGACGGATTGTAATACTTAACTAGAACGTTTGTGAGAACTGAATATTATCACTTCTGTTGCTCTAAATTTATCTTAACACACTTCGTCGCACATGTTTTAATAATTGATCCTGAAAGCTAGATGCAATTTTGTAGCTAGTATCTTACCTACTCAGTAACAGATTTACACCGGGAAACTATCTGGTATTACAGAACAAAAATCATTTAGAAAGATATATATCCAGAGAATCTGACATTTATTGTAACTTGTTTGTGTTGCTGGCATAACAGATTAACAAAGTTAGCGAAAATCAGGATTGCGATATTTTAATTCACAACGACTAGAATATTGATCACTTTGAAATTGAATACATCAAACTGTCGGATTTTAAGACACTCCATTGATTTGTGCAAAGAACAACTAAACATCAGAAATAATAATTGAAGATGCTTAAATCACTAGAACTTTCAGTTGTACTATCTTCCGATCAGCTAAGTAGCCCGTAGCATAATTTACCTTTAGCATTCACTCACGACACGTTTTACCACACTATTAATGATTCTTACACACACTACCTCTATTTAAGTTGCTTACTTGCTATGGTAAGATTTTAGTAAGTAAGCAAACAGATAATAAAATCAACTTAACATTGCATACTTCAAAAGACGACCAATGATTCGATGCGTTTACTAGATTGTAATTCATCAACACACAACTGAATGAATACATTGGAAGAACTTATCAGTTTAAAATATTTTGCACTTTATCTACGTATAAAACTAGAAGATCCCTTGAAGTTTTACTTTAAACTGACGACTGTATTAAACTACTCAATATGCATGTGGCGATTTAAATATACGTACAAATGCTATTTTAACTTTTGAACATTTTTATCTCTCTACGTCACTTCTCAATGAAATCTATTTATTCAAAATAGTGTCGTTATATTTCCTATGGAAATATTCCATTTCCGTAAGCAACCTACATGTGAATTCTACACGCTTCTTATTTTCGTTCTTTATTGATTCGCAATTAAAAGCAGCTTTCTATCACTACTAGTTACTTTACTATTATGCCTTTCGATATGGTTGTTATTCTGTTGCTTGTTAATTGCAAAACATCTCTAAACTGCGTGCTTAATGTACTCAATATATTGATACATTCTGTGAACATGAATAACATGAAATCTTACTCCAATAAAACGGTGATTGAAATCGACAATACCTTATTATTTGGAGTTGGTTCATACATGGATTTATCTTTCTCTACTTGTTTATCTTTGAAGTTATTTACGTCACTAACCACATTTGTGTTATTTGTTGACAACCACGATAACTGAAGGGGTAAACTTGGAAGACCAACTTCCCCACGTTCAGATGCCTTTATTGCTTTTTTCTATAACGAAAAACAAATTTTACAATCTTAAGTGATATTGGAATGATTTAGCATACATTACATTGGTGAAATAAGCTTACGTGAATAAATAATGTTCAGTATCTTGGGTTGACAATTGTATATAAGTACTTGCACTTTTTTGATGATGGTCGTAGTGGTTCTCCAAGTTTCAGCTCCGTATTTCGGAACTGTTCTGACGTTCGTATTGGAAATTCTGACTTTGATATTGGTTGACAATTGTTTTCAGTTGGGGTGCGACCCTTGCTATCTCTATTCTCTCTTTTACGTCTACATCAGATCCTCCTTGTTCATCTGTGATGCTGTCCAGGTACGTGAACGTTTCCACCTCTCCCAGATTTTTACCATCAAATGTGATTCGGTTGGTGTTCTCCGTGTTGTATTTAAGGATCTTGCTTTTTTCCTTCTGTATGTTGAAGCCTAGTGTTGCAGAGGCTACTGCTACACTGGCTGTCTTCACCTGCATTTGTTGCTATGTATGGGATAGAAGAGCTAAGTCATTTTCGAAGTCCAGGTCGTCTAGTTGCATGCAAGCTGTCCTTCGTATTCCGTGCTTCCCCTCAGATGTGAAAGTCTACAATTTAGTCAACCACCAGAAGAAAGAGAAAGGAGAGAGTAGACAACCTTGTCTGACTTCGGTCCTTACTTGGAATGAGTCTGTCAGCTGTCCTCCATACACGAATTTTGAAGATAGGATGTAATGCTTTTTCTCTAGTTGATCAGTTCATCTTGAGCTTCGATTTTATCTTGGCTACAACCAGGTGATTATCTGAAACTATGTCAACTCTTCTGCTTCTCATGTCTTACATTATCCTTCTGAATTTTTTATTGATACAAATATATGGTTCTCCGTGGGGTGATCCTGTTGTAGTGAGGCAGAACACTGATGAGGACAACCGAATTGTATTTAGCTCAAATTACAGAGTTAATTGGTAAAATAGAAAAACTAGATATTAAATCGTTAATTTGCAACATATTAAACTGAACTGTTCCTGTTTCAAATATCAATCCATTGACTGACATTTCATTGATCATGATTTTTCATACAAATTCCATTGTGTTGCCGCTCTTCCTCTCTTGATTTTTTCCCATCTTCTGCAGCCAGCCATTACGTTTGAAACTCGCGTTATATACTACTTATTATATCAATATAAGTAGCGCGCACCACACTGTGAGACACATGTAGCTTTATGTATGCGTTTGTGGGGGAATGTATTGTCACTTACTAGCATTTTTTGAGGGCACATAAAACTATATCAGCTCTTCTTTTTACTCTTCTGTTCTCCAAGGATCTTTTGAATTTGTTAATCATGTAAATGTGGTCGATCTGGTTTTCTGTAAGATGATCTGGTAAAACTCATGTAGCTGTGTGTGCGTTTGTGGGGAAATATTGTGCCACCTATAAACATTTTGTTGAATGCACGTTAATTTGCCAATTACTCACCATTCTCATTCCTTTCTTCCAGTCCATGCCATCCCATGTTATCTTCATATCCGGTGTTGTCCATCCCGACTTTGGCGTCTAGGTCTCCCATCAGGATGGTCGGGTCCTTTCCTGGATACTTTGCTATGATTGATTGCAGCTTCCCACAAAACTCATATTTATCACCGTTGCTATCATTGATTGCACAGAACTGGATAACATTCATTGTGATTTCCTCTTTCTTTTTCTTTAAGGGTGCTTTGATGATCCTTAATCCATGAGATTTCCATCCTATAAGTGCTTTATGTGCTTCTTTGAACAGCATCAGTGCAGCTCCCCGAGTGTGCTGAGCATTTTTTTTCTTTGTGACCAGAGCACAACAGCATCTCTCTTCCGAATCTAATCTCTGTCCAGCCTGGGTCCAATGGGTTTCACTCATTCCGAGCACCGCCAAGTTTTATCATCTCATTTCCGTAGCTATTTGACAGGTCCTTTCGACTTCTCACATTGTCCGGAGATTCCATGTATTTATATAAATTGTCACTGGGGTTGTTAGTAGGGGCATCGTGTTCGTGACTTTCGAAGATTCCTGTCTTTCACTGTTGCGGACCATAGTTCTTCTGAATGAACATCCTTCGACTCGGAGGACAAAGTTTTAGTGGTTTAAATTATTTATTCAGGTTATTATTTTAACAAGGTTGTTTTCTACTGGATGGGGTTTTGCTAACCCCATAGCAAACCTTCCCCCTTTATTCGGGCTTGAGACCAGTAGTAACCCTAGAAGAGCTGCAGGCAGAGTTGTTGTAGTACTTTATTATCGGGTCGATCAAGGCACAATGTCTTTGAATACGGGAACCAATTATGAAGTGTATAACAGGGTGATCGAGTCACTTAGTCATAACACAACAATTCCATCTTTTAGCGTAATAACAAATATGGATAAACTTCTTTAAAGCTCAACTTACTGCTTCATTGTATGTGGAAAACTCAGCAATTGCACTGCCACGTTTACCAATGACGAAAGCTATCACGTCACCGAACTACAAATAACAATTAAAAGTACTTAAGAGTAAATAGTTAACTAATAGGTATTTCATCTATCTTTTAAAAGTAATAACCAGTTTGAAAACTCAATCATCTTGTGGTGAAAGGTGCTAATTGAATAGTGTACAATATTGCTAATTGTCCAACAGTTAATAAATACTACATGTGTATATTGATAAACAGAAACAATTGTACAAGAAAATATTCACTAAACTAAAGTTTGGTTTTCTAAGATATTTAGAGTGGTATAATTTAAACAAATTTGCTTAACTATCCTAAGTTTGAGTGAACGGTTACAATATTGTTTGGATTCAACAAGTAAAATGCAGCCTCAAATACAGCACATATGCGTCTTACGCACAGATGGAAATGGTTTGAATGACTATATGGCAAAATTCTTCTTTGGTTGCTGTTAAGCAAACTAACAAGAATGTGACAGGAAACAACTTCTTTATTCGACTACACGCGTAAGGTATTGAATAAATTTCGAGTGTTGTATGTGATTTTTTTGAAGAGAATATTTAAAAAAACGAGCAGCGTATCGATTATTATTACTATTATTTACGCTCATGAATAAAGATATCATATGAATTAACATGCTAAACGAAGTTTTCGGACCTATTTCATCATATGTAGAGTTTAACTACAAAATATCTACATATACAAATGGACCTAATTTGCTACCAAATATTGAGTAGAATAGGTAAGTTCAATGTAAGTAATGTACCGCGTCGCTGCTAAACCTCATATGCAGGAAACTGTTATGATGATGGTTCTGATTACCGAAATGTATGACGAGGTTGATTGACTCTACTAAATTCATAGTCCCCAAAGTGAATGATAATTGAATAGATGTGGAAAGCGACTATATATATTTATCTAATACATGTACTTTTTCACTGAACTACCGTTCAGTCAAACATATGCAACGTAGAACCTAGAATACAACAACGGTACAAGATAAAATTAACACAATTAAACAGCTTTGGGAACTGAGTTATAAATTTTGGTTTAGAAATTCCCAGTCTCATGAAATAAAATTTATGAATTCAAAGGGACATGTGATGGTTTTTCAATAGTCATTACTTTTTAAATATACCTCTGATAAGCATGTTCTTAGGAACGATTCTGTGTAGCAAGCGTTGGCTTGAAAGTTTTCTCCGTAAGCCCATTTTATCTGTTCAAAACAATAATAACAGTAACTAGTAAACAAAAGCATAAAAGTAAGGACATTTTTAGATGCTTAAGTTTTTTTAAGTCAGTAAATTGCAATTTCTCCCCACTTTGAACATACCGAACTTTAACAAGTATATTAGAGTTTTATACGAATTTACTGCAACGGTTATGCAATGTTTGCATATCTGCATTACTCAGTACTAGTGTATTGAACAACAAACTAAGTGGGGAGAATCGAATGTATCTGAACACGAAGTTACAGAACATCTTGCTAAAATCTGAGAACCTTACAGTAAATACTTAGTTTGCAAAATATCGATCTGTTGTCTCGAACTTGAATGTTTCATTTGCAAATATCGGTCTATCGTCTCGGATTTCATTGTTCTTGCATTTTTATACCAATCGCTTCCCGTTCTTTCCTTCTCGATCTTCTACTGGAATACATTCTATTCTTGACTATCATAATATACTACTTATGTGGATAGGAGTAGCTCACACAACATAGTAACTAGTAATATTTTTATAATTGCTTACATTATCCATTTTTCACTGGCTTATAAAGACATAACACTTATCTCACCGGTGCTCACAATTAGTAAGGACTGAGAAGTATTGAAGTAGCCAGCTTTTGTATTCCGCTTAGGAACTACGCTGGTCAGAGTTTAATAACTGGGATTCTGAGGTTCTCAGCAGACATTAGTAATCAATAAGTAAATCATAACTTCTAAAAGTAAGAATAATAATTTATTTGCTTTTAACAATCCTCCAAAGTCACAATAATTGTCCTCAACACGACAAAACCCTTTCGAACTAAAACCATATCAAGCATCATAGTTTGAAAATGTATTTGTTTCATTCGGGTCAAAATAAAACCATTGTAAAGGAGAAAATAACTGGTTCACACTGTGGTTCTATACAATTTGGCTTAAAACTACAAATTACCGAATAAATATAGATCAAAATTAGAAATAATCTTAAAAATACAAATTATATTTGCAAAAAGCATTTATATTCTTCGGATCCCGAAGGTAGCTGCTACCTTGACGTGGTGGTCGGGCTTGCCTATCGTGATGACCCAACCGAGCTATATTGGCTGGAACACATGTTCCTGCAGGTTCTACCATGTCAGGCAGATCCATTGGAGAACGGTAAAACTAAAAGCAGCAATTCAAGGTCTGAGGGCGAAGTCGTACTGCTGACTGTAGAGGGGTGTGACAGCAGTAAGGTGTTTCCCTCGGACAACCAGCATCTGCAGCGATGCTGCCTTCTCACAAGGAAGGAAGGGGTTAGAAAAGGTTGACCCTAAAAATGTCACACCTCAGCTTACCCCACGGATTTCCGTCTCCGGCGGTAAGGCCCTTCGAACAACGAGCTAACACATCAAGAATCTCCCACGAAAAGGCCGCGCGCGACCGGCTTCAAGCAGTTGTCCCTCGGGCTCTGTGGTCAAGCTCCCAGGTCTTCAAGACCAACACTAGTCCGATTTCCTTTTCAGGTCCCTCAAGAAATACCCTTCCACGGTGTGGGTAGCCGGGAAGTGACATCAGCCCTCATACCCGTAACAACACACGAGACCAAGTTGGTCACATTCAAATCCTTCCTACACCTCCTAATAACTCTCTTATCTCCACGACTAACCATTCTCACGTCCCTTTATCACCTCGCCCCGCTAGAGCAAACAAATCGAGTTCGCGGAACTTTATTCCTAGTCTCCTGAAACCACGCTCCAAACTACACGTAGGAGTTTTCAACATCCGAACACTGTGCCAAATAGGACAACAGGCTTCCTTAGCTAGAACTTTGGAATCTCGCGCTATCGATCTGTGCTGCGTCTCCAAAACGCGCATACAGAATCCGAGTAGTGTCATTCATTTGACCGCACCATGTCAAAATAACGAACCAACTCGATTTACGCTTCGTGTATCTGGAAGCCCTGATGCTGCTTCCCGTGGCCTCGCTGGCGTAGGTATAGCATTGAGTCCTAGGGCAGAACTAGCTCTCTTAGACTGGATCCCAGTAGACAGTCGTTTGTGCGCTGTCCGACTAAACGGAACAGTAAGGACTCGAAAAGATAGGGACACTCGTCGTTGCCTCTTCGTCGTCTCTGCCTACTCTCCCACTGACTGCAGCTCAGATGATGTGAAAGATGAGTTTTACCGAAAGCTTTCCGACCTTCTCCGAAAAGCTAGGCGTTCAGATGTAGTAATATTGGCTGGTGACTTTAATGCTCAACTAGGTAAACTAAGCGAAAAGGAAAGACACCTGGGTGGATCTTATGGTGTCGCGGCTCAAAGAACAGATAACGGCGACCGTCTGTTGCAGCTATGCTCAGATAACCGCCTGTTTCTTGCAAATACTAACTTTAAGCATAAGGAAAAACATCTATTAACATGGCGACCCCCTAATTCGTCTCAACGCTGGACCCAAATAGATCACATCGCTATCAGCCACCGATGGAGGGGCTCGATAGAAGACTGTCGCTCATTCTGGAGCACATGCTTAGACTCAGATCATGCTCTAGTGCGAGCGCGTATTTGTCTACGTCTTACTGGACGTAGGAAAGATGGTGCAAGGAAACCCCTTAGGGTCCTACTAAATGATAGTCAAGCTAATAGTACATTTCAGGAATAACTAGAAAAAGTTAGGCAGCCAAGTGATGCCCGCTCCGAGGCAGCGCAACAATCTCAGAGAAAGATGAACATATTCATTCTCAATCCAGGAGATTGGACCGATGGGCAGAACACTTTAGGGATCAGTTCAACTGGCCTTCAGCCACACTTCGGTTTCCCACGATCTCCAGTCGACCTGAATGGCAAGTTAATGTAAGTCCTCCGACTCTTTACGAAGTTGAAAAAGCTATAGGTAATCTAAAGCGTGGGAGAGCAGCAGGCCCTGACGGGTTTACCTCTGAGATTTTTAAGGATGGCGGTCCAGTATTAGCAGCGAGATTGACTGAGGTCTTAGGTAGAATCTGGGAACTGGACGTAATCCCATCTGACTGGTCCCAATCACTGATTGTGCCAGTCTATAAGAAAGGACAAAAGTCCTCCTGTGACAATCACAGAGGAATTAGTTTGACTAATATAGTGTCTAAAATATTAGCTTCAATAATACTTCGACGTCTAACCAAAGCTCGTGAAGAGCAGACTAGAGAAAACCAGGCTGGTTTCCGACCTGAACGTGGTTGTATAGATCAGATGTTCACACTACGTCAGGTCCTAGAACATAGAAACACATTCAGAAGTCCCACAATGGTAGTATTTCTCGACCTTAAGGCGGCATAAGGCTCTGTTGATCATGAGGTCCTATGGCAGTGTTTGTCTCTGAAAGGAGTACTAAAGAAGTACATCAACTTTATAAAGGCTCTCTACTCGAACACAACTGGTCGAGTGAGAGCTTATGGTGAACTGTCATCAGAACTGATTACCTCAAGTGGTGTTCGTTAGGGCTGTCCACTCTCTCCATTCCTGTTTAACTTTGTCATTGACGTGCTTTTAGAAATAACACTTTCCACATCTGACTTTCCAGGGGTTGAACTTCTACCGAAAGATTCACTTGTTGACTAAGAGTATGCCGATGACATAGATCTATTTGGTGAAGACGCTGACAGAATGCAGAGTCTGCTGACCACTCTAAGCAACAATGCAAGCATGTTCGGCATGCGATTTTCTCCCTCGAAATGCAAAATGTTGTTTCAGGATTGGGTTGCATCGACACCCGAACTAGTGATAGGGAGTGAAGTAGTTGGGCGTGTCGACCGCTTCACTGGCCAGTAAGAGTAGAGGATATTCGTAGGTTACTAGTATTTGACCATAGGTGTCTTCGAAGCATTGCTCGTATATCCTGGGACCACCGAGTAAGTAATGCAGTTGTTAGGAAACGGGTACTAGGTAAGGATGGCAAACCAATTGATGAAGTAGTGAAATTTCATCAGTTGAGATTTCTGGGACACGTGTTACGTATACACAACCACCGACTGCCCCGACATGTGATGTTTTATGGTATAGGAGTAGGTTGGAAGAAAGCTAGGGGCGGCCAGACCAAAACATGGCACAAATCCATGAAGTCTCTGACAAGTGGACTGAGTCATGTTGGTAGGTGTAGACTACTTGGTTGGAGACCGCGAGATGATAGCAACCGATGGTTAGAGACCTTGAATGACATGGCTCAAAATCGTTTGCAATGGAGCAGGTGCATCCACTCTCAAACTCTAATCTTCTGAATTCTTCATGTCCTTTATTTTCTTTCCGAATCTATTCCACTGGACTATACTCCTTAAATAACATCATCAAATCCTAGTGTTCCCTATCACTACTTATACTTTCACTACCTCTACCACTACGGGATTTGAATCGATAACTGAATCTCTGTGCTAATGTGGTATGGCAACTCGAACTGATGTACGTACGTACGAAGTTCCATGTTGTTACTGACTGACTGACATTTTTCGGATGTGTATTTCGTTTGATCACTTGAGGAAGGCTTCTAATGAAGGTATTCTCCATTATTTTACAGAATCGGTTGATATAATAATGGTTTTCCATTTCTTTTAATACTATGTTGAGGGTACAAATAACTCACTTTTACTAACATCCATAAGTGTGAACATTTCTGAGAATGTAACAAATTTCAATGCCGAAACATGTTTTTAAGTTTTGATTTCAAAACTACTAGATTTAACAATGATCATGAATGCACTTTGGCAATAAATAATCATCGACACCACTTAATTCCCACTATTAGATTATTAGGTTCAGTTTGGTTTTAAGTAGAACTGCTCATCAGTTTCTGATGTCAGTTTAAACAGGGTATTACTAAGATATCTACTCCACAACGTGTAACTGTTCTATTCAAGCTGCAAGCTCTCAAAAAAATCATTCTTAATGACTCTTATTTTATCATGAGATGAGTAGTTGTACACATATTCATGATTTTAAAGTATAAGTGCCAGGGTTTGACTATCAACGAAACGGAGCAGAAAGAAGATTACCCTAAAATAATGAAGGTTCATGGGGATAAAGACGAAGTCTAATAGCTTAATATTAGCATTAAATGTATCGATTACGTTCAAGAAATGGGTTAAAACTTACTCTCACCACAGCCTGACCAGATTTAGTACATTTTAACTTCGCATTGTCAGTTTCCTCACTTGCAGATTTTCGTTTCCTTTCAGCTTGCCACTTCATTTCTTCATTATGGCGTTCCCAATCCCTGCGAATCTGGTCGGCTGCTTGCTGTTTAGCTACAGTTTCAAACTGCCTCTTTCGCAAAGCCATGGCAGCCGCTTCTCTCGCTTCTAGCTCTTAGTTTACAATACATGTGGAAATTTTATATACATAAGAATTACGTTAAAATATAGCAACTTTATAATACAGTTATGTAAGGTATAAAATAACAAACTTTAGTATTCAGCACAGCATATAAAAATAACTGAATCAATATATCAAAACTGCTTTGTGTAACAAAATCTATAGATATCACTTTCTCTATATTGATTTATTTATTTATTAGATGTTAACTTGGGAATAGAAGAACCAACAGGAACAAACGTCTGTTGGTAAAATTGACACAAAGTTAGTGAACACGTAGAATTCCACATCCTAACACAAAGCTGAGTCAGTTAACAACTAACTGAAAACTGATAGTTGTCATGACACAGTTTGGTCACTTCATGAACCAAACGCACTCCACAGCTAACCCAAGAAATACATGCGGAACATCTAATGGACCAGATTGAACGTTCCTTCTTATTATTTGATATCAACGAGGTCATACACAAGTGTACTAAATGATGGGAACTCGAAATGAGTAGCCTGAAATAATATACGCGTCTTACTGTAAGGAAATTACTAACGAATGTTTCGATTCACCCCCTGATATACCAGTCCTAAAGGCCATTCATTGCTAAAAAGTGACGAAAACTAATTCGTACTGACAGAAAATTTGAAAATCTTCCACCAACTAATTAGAAGAGTAAACAACGAAACATTGGGCAATTGCAAATAAACCCATTAAGGTTAAAGAATTTTCATAGTGTTTTACTAACTGACTTATATGAGGACAGTTGTTTATACATTTAAATAAAAAAGCAAATGCAGTGAGACTATAATTTAGGGATAACCTCTGAGCAACACTTAAGTGACATTGAGTGTCCACCTACTTACTAGAACTACATGAGGTTTATCAGTCAGTCAGTCAGCTATAACGTAGGATCAGGCACATATGTGCATTGGTCCAAGTTGCCATACCTCATTAGTACAAGATGAACACCAGATTCATAGAAGTAGTTAAATCAGTGGTGGTAATATATAAAAGAAAGATTGCATATAAGGACATAGTACAGGCAGAGAGAATTAATTCGTAAAAAGAAAGATATGGGGAGAATAAGGATTATGATTTACAGTTGATGGCTAGGGTTAGAAATTAGATTTAGAGTTTCCATCAGGAACTGATATCAGCTAAAATGCTAAAAGGTTATTTAGCCAAATGGATGAATGAATTTCGAGTCAAAACCCAAGACCAGTTATCCTAAATCTCATTGGTTCGTCCATAAGTTATAGTCTCGCCGCAACTGCTTTATATATGCTTTGAAATATTTGTCATGCTGTATGACTAGCAAAGTAACATTTTAGTAAGTACTTCATATACACTTTTCAAGATAAGTCTACTCAGAAAAATTTAGATAGGCGGCACGCATCATGATGAATATATCAATAAAAATAAGAGGACAAGACTTCATAACTTACCTTCTTTAAGCTTTCTTCGTGACGAGTCCATAGATTCCATTCTTTTAATAGCATCTCTTTTGGCTTTCCATTTCTGATCATATTCTTTCTAAATCACATTAAACATAGAAATACCTTTTTAAAAAGCCTTATGAATTAACAGAAATGATTACCGTCAACAGAAACGTGAGAGACGTATTGAATTTACATACCAAAGCAAACAAATTGATAAGGTGCATAAATCCTTTAAACAAATATGGCGTTAAGTTTGATTCTGAATGAAATACAGTACGTAAGTCATTATTTTGAATTTTAAAGCCGAAAACCATATCGATATAATGATTTCTGCACCAAGTCTTTCTGTTTGCCCCCAAATGCCCTGGTACGGCCGAGAGTGGGGAGAGTCCGCTCTCCCTCTCGAAATGCTCTCACATGGCCATGCGTATATAGCCTCTGCCAGGGAAGTCCTACTCACTGCCTTCTCGTGGCGGGGGTGTTGTTTACAAAAATGAGAGGACGAAAAGCGAATGTCTGGCGCTTTAACCGGACCCCAAACCAATGGTGCACATGGGCTCCAGTATCCTGCGGGAACAAATGGCGTATGAACCAATCGTTGGTCACCGGCTACCATGGGACTGCATCTCCTTACGATGCTCCACTGCCTTGTGGGTCAGACGTTCAGGTCAAAGGCTCGGGGTGTGGCCCCCTAAGAAAACCACCCGCTTCGGTTTGGGCACCCGGTCAGTATCACAGCCCTCACACAAATCAATTGAGATTTGTGTGGCGCATATGTATTTGGTGCCTCCCAGTACCTGTACTTATGTGTTAAAATAAATAAATAAATAAAATAATTTCTGCACCATCATTTTTAACAAGTTTTTACAACTAGTCATGATATATACTATATAACTTGTTGTTTTACGAGGAATACTTACCCAAAGAAGTGCAATGTTTTGTCCAGAACATTACCGATAAGATAAAAGCTGGATTTACAATTGATATGCAGGCTTTTACAAGCTAAGTTAAAAGACGAACTAATCTCATGAAATAGGAGAGCTTGTAGTCAGCATACTACTCATTTTTTGTGGTCCACTAGAGTTTACTGCCATGAATAATAGAGAGTGATGATTCGGGTGCAGTCCCCTAAGTTTGACTACACGCTAAATGTTCCAAACTCCAGACACAACCAATATACAAGCATATATCCAAATGTTCTTTTTTGTTCAAGTGACGCGTTAAACTAGTACCTAAATCCTGGTAATTAAGCTTCATACTCAATAATACCTCATAAAATGATGTCTGAGCAGCCGAGTAATATAGCTAGCACGACCAAACGTTCTGACTGAGATTAACACAGAAATTTGACTGTAAATACCGAGTTTTCATACTTTCCGGTTTGGTAAACAATGAAAATAAACAAATTGGTAGGCCCTGTCCTTTACACGTTTTTTTGTCTTGAAGACAGTCCACAAGTTGAATGGTCAGCTCCAGCTTGCCTTTGTGCTTGATCCTGGCGTCGTATGGCCTATCCGGTGCATATGGATCCCAGTTGGCAACCGACGTCTGTTGACACGAAATGCTTCCAGAGTTGCAGCCGCCATACGGGAGGATGGAAAAGTTATCCCCGTCCTGCTTGGCTAGTCTCATCACATGCTGAGACAGTATGTTTTTAAGCCTCAAGGACTGTTTGATGAATTTCCATTCCCGAATGTCAGAGTTTGCTTGAGTAGGGTCCATGTTTTCCGGTACACCTTGCACGATGATATTTCTTCCGCGGAAAAACTTCTCTCGAGAACCTTCAGGGACGTTCAGAATACGGTATGTCGGACAGTATTCTGACGTTCCTATCGGATTTCAGTAGATGACTAGCTAGCAGGACATCCTGTACTTCGGTAGCGTTCTTGAGTGTTACACGGAGTAGTCTCGGGTGATTTTGATGTTTAGATTCCTTTCCCCGAGTGAGCCGTGTGACCGTCAAAGGTTCCAATCTAGAAAGTTCAAGCTTAGTCAACATGTTGACTATATTTATTCTGGTTATTTATCGCACAATTTCATTTCACTTATAAACTGATTCAAGTTAACACTTCATATTAGTCAGCCCCAACATGAACGATCTGATTTGATTTTATATAACAAATAACAATTCTTAATTCGCATATTACAATTTCCAAATGATGTACTCTGCCTTAAATCTGGCCAATTCGATGGATTATTAATTTGGATTTATAATTGTAGAACCTGATGAGAAATTATTGAAAAGAATATTCTTCGTTCATATAATTGTGTTTTAATATAATGGGAATTTTTCAGCAATTCAAGCTTTTTGTTCAGTTCACCCCAGAGCATCCTGTCGTTTTTGTCCTGCAAACTGAGAGGAAGGTCAGGGTTGTCTATAAAGTTCATGATTATGAGAGAGTCATCACGGACCGTTATTGTTTTCCCAGGTTTTCCGGTGCGTTCAGGTTCAGTACGTTGTTGTTTGGAGGTCGAAGCAGGTTTTTGAGTCGTAAGCTTTTTAATAACCGGGCGGACATTTTTGGGGGTAGACTGAGCGATCAAAGCACCAGTTGATGTCCGTACAACACTTGGGATGTCAACCTTGGACGGTGACACCTGGTCCTTATTAGCTTTGTTGGCGTGGGTGCAGTCACCTACAGAGTTTTTAGGAACCACTGTTGCGTTTAAGGACCCTGAACTGGGAGATCCAATTTTAGTGAGGGAATCAATTATTGTCGACGTAATGGTGGTGCTGAGTTTCAACATGTCATCATCACTGCTAATGCGCGTTCCATCGATGGTTGACTTGTCAACATCCCTGTTCTTATTTTCGTTACGCGCCCTCGTTTGCCTACCTATTTTATGGCTATCTGTTTCCAAGTTTACTGACAATTTATTCCGCAGACCTGTCAGTAAAACAATGATGTTGCTCAGCAGTACTACAGCGTCCGTGTTGCACGTAACACACACCCACTTAGGGTCCGGTTTGCTGAGTCTCTTGTAAGCAGTTGCCGTAAGATCTGTGCACGTTTCGTGAAACCAACCTTTGCAGTTGTCACACTGAATGCCAGATGTAACAGCGAAACGGCATCCAGGTCTTTTACATGAATTTTTCATGGCTGTATTGACGCAAACTATGTTAGAGATAGTATCGAAGCTTAAGACCGTTAAAAATACACTGAAAACCACACTAAAACGGGAAAAATGTATCAAAACGAGTGAGATAAAATGAAATAGCCTTCACGTGAAAAACTGAAAATAAACCGAATAATAAGCTGAGGCAAAACCGCAGTTAACTATTAAATTGGGTGAAACTCAAAAAAAAGTAATCTACCGAACTTATAGCTCAGAATAGATTGTTTAGATCAGAAATGGTACTTTTGTTGCGTAAGAACACAGCAAAAGTTTGAGAAATGCAAACCACGTTAGGACTAAACTTCCCGTTCAGTATGCACTTAGTCACAACTGGTTATACATTCGGCATTTGGTTTTAAGGGATAAGACTTCATCCTCTTTATCTTTCGGGTACACAAATTACGATTACCGTGAATCTTACACACCTAAATTTTAATATCTGATAAGTGCACCTCAGAATTCTAGAAGTTATACAAAAAGTGAATATTGAGATAAACCCCAGTTCATGATAACGTTTAAAAACCCGAAGGATATTATTTTGCAGAAAAGATAACAGAATTCTTAATTTAATAATTCGAACGACCTAGTTGTGACAACCCCTCTACCTAGTTTATCAACAATATATTAGCAAGGAACAAGATGTGTTCATGATATCATCAAATATGTTTGGACAAAAATAATAATGATTGTTTATTTCAAAATGGTATCCAGGATTATTAGGTTGAATTCCTGAAACAGCTCAAAACTGAAATGATATAAGTGATTAAAATAATGTAGTTTGAATACGATCACAGTAACATACCCTTTTAGTGGGATCGTGCAAAATTTCAAAATAAATAGCCAGTTGCTGAAATGATTCCTCTAAGGAACTGATTATTAGGTATAATTACATACTTGCCAACGGATTGTCTTGATTTTTATCAGGATGTGCCTCTCTTGCCTTCTTCTTATACGCTCTCTGAATGTCCTTTGCAGTACAATCATCTCTGAGGCCAAAGTACGCGTACAAATCAACATCCATCAGAACAAGACGTTGTCTATGACTCAGAATTCGACACTAAAGCAACTAATGTCATTGAAGTTGCGCTCACTGCGAGTGTCCCGCGTTACGCTAGTGAAGCATGAAATAGTTAACTGCATATTACTGGATGATTGCCTCACCGCCAACTATAAAAAGCCTGATCGTTAAAAATGTTTATGCCCTACAATCGTTGGTAAACTGAAAATATTTTTGTCACTATTAATGTCTGCTGGTCACTAACCTCATTTTGCCCCCAACTGTGAAGTTACTTATATATTTAGGTGATATGAGTTGTTTCAAGGAAGAATGCGGAAACACAGATGAAGTTGCTTTATGCGTTATCAGTGAAGTTACAAGTACTAAAAATACACCGAATTTGTTGTTGTCTAATTTTCTGGGCAGCAATCTGTTCTGAATTCTCTGAACTTAACAGTACTTGACATTAACCGAGTAGTCATTAGAATACATGAACAAATTAAAATTTCGATAATTTTAACTACCTTAAATGACAAATATAACTAAATTTATAGTTACGCATTCCCTCTTGTTTTATACTCGTCTCACTCAATCTACTACTCTCAATAACCTTGTCAAATAACACCCGTTCAGAAAGCAATATGTAAAAACACCTGATCAATGAGACTTACAGATGACTGAAATATGGTAACAAACTGTGTTAAAAATGAGCTTAACCAGTTCGAGATGAATTTATGTTAAATATTTTATTACCTCAGCATTTAACTCTCTATTTTAATGGGTGGCACGTTATTGAACAAAGTGATTATTATCAGCACGGTTTTAAAATCATGGTACCGTACCTGAAATTGCACACTAGTCCAAAGGCACACCAATGTCTATAGAGTTCCCTTATACATTCTTGCAAACATCCGAGCTAGTTGAAACTAAAATTTTCATTATCAGAGACGAGTCTTTACAAAACCATTCATTTCAAGATTTCTCACCACCTTAAAACTAAACCCGCTGTCTCATCATCACAACGACATCATCGACGACTCGATGTAAAGCGTTCCTATTCCTATTAATAACAAATTGATCATCCCTTATATGTCTACCTCTGGATACGATCAAATATGTTGTCCATTCCTACTATCATCGCGTTTCTTATTATTCTGAGACAATCTGTGGTTTATACTTTACAGTTTCGTTTCCTATATGCATGATGTTCCCTATTGTTTTAAATCTCGTTCTGTCTAACGCCAAGTTCGTGATTACCATTTGATTGCACCACTTCTCTGAAACAATCGGTTTGTTGCGCGATCCAAAATGGATATTTTAAAGCATCCGATCCATATTTTACTTAAATATATGTTTCAATAATTAACTACCTACTCCAAACTTTTCTGTTTTGTTGTCTTTTTGGGTCAGTACGTGTCGTCATTATATCCATTAATGTCTTGGGGAAAGTGTGGGGGCGTTTATTTCGTATTAAGACTGAGAGCCTATCATTATTACATTTATACAGAAGTGCTAAGAGGTTTGGTAGGCTAAACAGGAAGTAGTAAAGAGGTGTTTTGTTTGGGTGAAAATGCCTTTTTAGTCCATTAATTGTACGTTTTAAAGAAAATTTTGTGGCCATTTGACCTAAGATTTCCATCTCAAATATCATTTGAACAGTTTTTGTTAGTCTATATTATATTGAGCTTGAACATGTTTGACTGGCATATATCTCACTAAATTAACAAGGCAGTCTTTGTAAATAGCCGGCTGTCACCAAATTTTATTGGAAACCCTCAACTAAGTTTGGTGGTAATGTTAAAGGTCCAAGGTGCACTTGAAACGTAAACCATTTACCAGATCTGCAGAAGCGACAAATAATTTGGTTATCATGGTCGCGAAATAATTAACACTGGACCTTGGGTATTCCTATATCCAGATTCTCATAAATCTGAGATCATCCATCCTCTAAATAACCACCTCCCGTAACACATCCACTCAATGAAAAAATTTAGTGGAAGCTTCAAACGCCGAATGTCATAGAAAACACTCATCCATTGTCTTCTTCAGTCTAACAAATAATTTGTTCACTGCACATAACTTTCAAAGAAGTCATGAGATGTTTTTATGGACGTCACTTAAAGTTTTTAATGTTTTGTATTATGTTTACTTGAAAACGATTACTCCTACTGTGAAATTGTAGTGAAAGCGGTAAAAGAGCATATAATTAAAAATAAATGGCGATAAAAAGACTAAGTGATAATCTCATGTCAATTACGAATCGTAAGCCGTACAATAAATAATGTTATTAAAAATGTATACCACATAATATTCATCTGACCTTACCTCTTGAGAATTATGTCAGAATTGGCTTCAAAAAGCACCTTCTAGAATACATTTACAAGGTATGGAGATAAAACTTGAGGATAGGCGTTTGTAACGAAATGTAGATATGTCAATGTATTACGTTGAGGTTTATGAGAGACAAGTCCACAATGTGTAGGCGATTTTCGGACACTACTTTCACGCCCAGTCATTTATCGAGAGCAAACTCATGAGTAAAGACCATCTCAAAACAACCTGGATTGGTTTCTGCTTTGTTCTGATCTTTCTGTATCACTCGTGATGCACTTCCTTCCAAAATGTAAGTAGTAATCTAGGCGTGGCTTCTTGTTCTGTTTCTCAGACTACAGTGCGTATGTGCCTTTACAAGACGAATTCATAAATATCTCATACTGCGTGTGAAAGGTACATTGTAAGACTAAAATAATTCACGTAAGTGAGCATGAGGTCAAAATTAAAACAGTGGGATCTCTGATGTGTTGGTCTATAGCTAAGCGCCTGTTGTTTCCAGCAACTTATAGCTAAACAATGCTTCTGATAACTTTATCTCTACGGTAGGCCAGTCTCTAATAGTTGCATTGAAGTTGCCTTTCGTAAGACTCCTGCAACTTATTCACTGGTAATGGAGTTCATAGCATTAAATGTGTTTGTTATTACATGAGGCATAACCGTAAACAGGCAAAATATAGCTGTTACAATCTTCACAATATCTACTTTTGTGAGGTGTCCAACAAGGAACCGAATTCAAGCACCACCTTATAAACCAGCCCATGATGTACGACTATTTGATGCCCGTCGGTTGTCTTTGATTTTGATGAGGATCGGTGAAGCGTTCGACGTCCAGTGACTCGACTGTTTGATGATTTGGCTAGGGCCCGGTAACATTTAACTACAACACATCGTCACCCGGTTCAACGGCCTTTTGAATCGGTACTAAACATATTGGATGTAATCGCGCACAAGAAGTTGCAAAAGATAGATAAGAATCCTCCGGGAATTGATGAGTTTTAAGACAAATGGCAGGGAGGACTCTGCAACTGATCTAGAAATAGCGAGTAATAATAAATCTGGGGATGTTGGATTCGTTGGTGCTAAAATGTATGGCTTACAATTTGGTTTAATGTTAAGCAATTAAGAATGACGGAGATAAATGAATTATACAACGTGAAAGTTTTATCAAGCAGTGTTAAAACACATTGCGCTGACAAGTTACTCAGATAAGTCATGTTCAGTTTACCGCAAGAGTAAGGACACTAAAGTGGTACGACAGTTGCATTATCAATTGACGCCGATGTCAGCTCTGTCATTGACTTAAATATGATAATTAGCGGTAATTGAATTATAGTATGAACTAATAATCCCAGAAATCACGCAATTGAATCAAGAAGTACTACACAAGCATCAAGGAATGTATTGTATTTAGAATTCGAAATCAGGCATTCAACAAGTACGAAGCAATCATTAGTTCATTCAAACACCACATTAAGGTAGTAAGTTAGTCAACGTTGTTGACAGTTTGCTGTTCATAAGTTTCGAATTCTGCTTATATATATATATTTAGCAGATTAACTGTAGGTACAGAATATAACCGAAAAAAGTGTTAATTTCGTCGCACGAAGTTATTTATCACTTACTAGACAAAATTCGAAAAATTGGTCATTGTTATTACAATTAGTTATCACAAATTGAACTAGACAGGTTATAAGCTCATTGTGTAAATGTCAGATTGATACCAGCTACCGACTTATAATCTGATACCAGACCACAGTTTTTCATGACAGTAGTTTCATTGACGATTAGATAAAAGGTAGAAACACTACTAGAAACGAAGGTTAAGAACTACTGCATATTAAAGTGAAAATCAGACAGGAGGGTTGTGCTTCACTGACAATTGTAAAATGGGTATAAGCTAGGCATTTCACGGTCAGTGATGATATATATGGCGGAGAGATTTAAGAAAGGAAGCTTTAACAAGAATAATTTTATGAAAAATTTTAACTCTTCACACCATTAAAACTAGTCTAAACGTATGAAAGTTTCTACACTAAGATTTGTCCAGAATAACTCCAATATGATACATGGAGGATATGCGTTTATATTCCATTGTTGTTCTATACTATCTGCCTGACCTTGTTCATGGCCTTGAGTCCATGTGGTTCCTTAGTTCGTTCCAGTTTTCATTCTAGTTTACGTTTATCTCGGTGCATTACTGGTAATTCTCGCTTGTTTTTGTCTCAGAAACTGTCCTGTTTTATGTTCCTTATTCATAGCTGATCCCTATTTCGTACCGTTTCATGCAGACATTATTTCAGCGATTCTCAAGCAACAAATAAAGAACAAAGGAGAGATAAAGCGGACGAAAGTGTACACATAGTGCACAGTTGTCCACTACAGACACCTAAGTAGCCTAATATTTTCCATATGCAGCGATACAGATAACGTGTACATAGTTCCTTCTAAAATCGAAATACTGGATGTGATACTATGCCTCGAAATTATGAGTTTTCTGATTGTCTGTACAATCTTACTTTACCTTGCATCTATTACCCGACATTTTTCAAGGTTTGGTGCCTTCATCTTACCTAATTTTAAAGTTATCTAAGTGCAATTCAACTCTGACTAATGCTTTAAGTGCAGCATTTGTACAGGTAGTAGAATTGACATGAAAACCATTTTTACTGGTTCATAAAACTACGAACCAATGACCTTGTAGGTGGAAAATCAATATCCAGGGTTTAGCGAACAGTTTATCATTCGCTTGTTACAGCGTCTTGGAGTCGATGATGATATAAACCTGCCAGAGACATACCTGAGAATTGCTGGTTTACACACCCAACGTCAGTTCTTATTTCTCAAGTTTTTTAAATGTCTTTAGTGTATGGAAGCATGGAGAACAAAGGGATTAGTCGAATCGAGATTTTTGCTAACCTTTTGAAGTTGTGTTTAAGTAAAATACCTGACGAGATATCTAGTACTAACGGCTTTACCAACCTTATAAGGTACTTAATTCCCCTTACTAATTTTCAGAGAGATAACAGAGATAACAGATAATTTTTTGGATTCGTTGTATAGTCACGATAAACAGATTTTGCAACAAAGAGCGCTGTACAGCCTTAGGTTTGAGTTTATTCAGTCATGCAAACAATTCAGCGAAACCTTGAAAGCATATAACCGTGATAAAAAGTAAGTAATTGGGTCATGTTTTTGTCGTACTTTATTTTGGTTGGGTCGGGTTTATAAAACCATTATATAACAGGGATACTCGTGCACTACCATTTGATTTATTTTTTAACCAGATTGTGAATGAAAGCCCTCCATGATTCAACACCATCAGTCGTACAGTTGGATAATTTCGCATGCGAAATCCGAAATAACGTAAACATTTGATTTCATAACAAAGCAGAAGGCGTTTACGTAAGCTTATAGTCATGTTATTCTAGCGCTCCAGCTACCGATTCTGTCACAAAATATCCGACTAGAAAGCCTATAGTGGTTTGCGTAGTCATACTTTTCCTTCAATAATTTAATTCATATAAAATTAAGTACGGCTAAATAGTAAATCTAGCATTTATCACTCGAAACTTTGTTGGTATGAATATCTCAGCAGTAAACTCCCTAAGCTCGTAATTCATGTTTCTGATTGCTAGTTCGGAAATGTTTTACTTGGTATCGATGTTATTATGGTAGCTGTATATCACATGAGGCGAAATGTATTAAATAATTTGTACCTATGACACCAATTTCCTGACTTATAAACACTAGGTGAAGTAAGAGAATTTATTAAACTTATTTTCTAAATATTAAAAAAACCTGGATGTGTTTGTAATTTGAAAACTATTAGCTAATCCCATAGTGCAATCAAGAAGATACTTTTTGCTGCATTAACTTTGTGGTTTGAAACCTTGAAAGGTTACTGTCTTGTTAACCATTACGCCTACAAATCGTTTTGCTACTGTTTCTTCTCTTTTGTTTTGTCAAGTCGTGACAAATATCGCTTATGTAAAGTGAGTAGCTCCATATATCAAAGTCAATCAAACGTGATTTGTATTTTGAATTTTCCAGGTCAACAGAAACAGTGCTGTCATAACTGCACAACTAGCTAGTAAAACTGATTGACTAAAATTGGTGGCTTATTTGATAATCTACTCGTATGATTGACTTCTGAGTCCCTGTCGGATACGTATCAAAGAACAGAGCCCCTGTATGATGTTATCGAATGCTTACAAAATAAATAATGCCACTATTCATACTCAGTTAAATAACGTCACTGAACTACTTATTAGATAAAATACATCTGACTGTCTTAAAAAGTTCCCGTAATTTCGAAGATGGCTTTACGTCTAAGAAGTACTATCCCATCAAGCTGCTAGACAATTAGAGACATTCGTTTTACCTAATTTTTATTTTCTTAGGAAGTTAATTGCCTTGAAAAATTTTATCTCTCTGCAAATAATATCAGCCACACTTTTCGAAAGAAACAGATGAAACGACTTGATAATAAAATCCTAAACTTACTAAAATAGAATCACTGCTTTTATCCGTCTAGTAATAGGCTTTTTATTGGAAGTCTAAAACTACGTATTTGAATGAAGAGAAGAATGCATGGTCAATAAAGGATGGGAAAAAGACTTTTTTATCCCATAAATCTACTAAAGGCGTAATAGTACTCTGCTGTCTGTGATCAAAAGTACTAGAAAACTACTTATTTATTTATTTATTTATTTGAACACATAAATATTGGTACAAGGGGGCATCAAATATATATGCGCAACACAAAATGAGAATTTGAAGTGAAGGAGAAAAAAAATATATTAAATGAAAAAAGTAATGAACGTGGGGAATTATAAAAAAAAAGAGGAAGAGAACAATGATGGGGAAAACGGAAAAGTACAATCAGAAAAAATCTTTCAGTTAAGGAAGATACAACCACTCTTTACGAAGAAATTAAAAGAAGGTTACAGCAGGATCGCCACTGGCTTCTATTCTGAGCCATATCTGATAACGTCTCTAGCCACTGCGTTACACCATCTTTCGGACCCCAGCCAGGGAGTCGTGAAGGACCAACAGAAGCCAGCCCTTTGCAGCTTTCTTTCATACCACGACACCATGTCATATACTGACCACCTCTCCGCTTTTTCCAACCAGTCCCAGAGTCGGCAAATAATGCACAACGTGGAATTCTCTGGGACGACATTCGTAGAACATGTCCAAGCCAACGAAGTCGGTGTTTCAAGATCCGACCTTTTACAGCCAGACCAACATCACGAAGGCGCCAAAGATGGCCCAGATTGGCATAAGCCGCTCTGGCTTTCACCATACGTGCATTGATCTCATCACTCACACCACCACCAGCACTTATGCAGCTACCTAGATACACGAACTTCTCGACCACTTCTATCTGCTCACCGTCCAGAGTGAGTACAGGATTAGAATCCTGCCAGTCTTGTAGGAGTACTTTGCACTTCGAAGGTGCGAAGCACATACCATACCTACGGACATTGATTGCCAACTGATCTAGTGCGGATTGCATGGCTTGAACATTCTCGCACAGTAAGGCAAGTACTCATCCGCATACTCAAGGTCGAGAAGTCTTTCTCCAGGCAACAGATCCACACCACCATTACTTACATCCGTCAGAGCTGTTTCCAGAATATCATCGATGGCAAAGTTGAAGAGGAATGGTGAGATTAGGCAACCCTGTCTAACCCCACTGCTTGAATGGAACAATTAGAAAGGTGGATGTATGCCCTCACTCTGCCTGAGGTGTTTGTGTATAGGGCCTTTAGGATGTTAATAAACTTCTCAGGCACACACTTCTTCAATAGACAATCCCAGAGAACAGTTCTGTCCAACGAATCGAAGGCAGCCCTGACATCAAGAAACACTACGATTGTTGGCCTTTGTTAAGTATGACGGTGTTCTAACACTTGGCGGAGGGAGAAGATATGATCAATACATCCTCGCCCTGAACGAAAACCAGCCTTCTCCTCGCGAGTCAATCTTTCTCGGGTTCTGAACAACCTACGAAGTATGATGGAAGCCAATAGCTTGGACGCAATCGGAAGTAGACTTATTCCCCGATAGTTGTTACAGGAACGACGTGAACCCTTTTTAAAGATAGGGACAACTATCGACTCGTTTTATGGTGTTGGAACACTCTCTAGTTCCCAGACCTTTGTAAACAACACAGTCAGTTTCTTAACAAGAAAGTCACCACCATCTTTAAAAAGAGCCGGGGTTAAATAATCTCAACCCCGTGATTTGTAGCGTTTCAAGAGTTGGAGTTCCTTGCGGACTTCCACCTCATTCGGTGGATCAGTCGTCACCGGCCATGGAGGGTAGGACAGTGTGACCGATGTTGCCGGAGCAGCAGGCCAGTTGAACTGCCCTTCGAAAAATTCTGGCCATCGTCCAAGACGTCGATGGATGTTAGTGATTGGCGTTCCGTCATCCTCGCAGATTGTTTCGCTCACACCAGACTTCTTGCCTGCCAGTGGCTCGGATGAGTTGGAATAGCTTCAAGTAATTACCAGATGCAGCAGCTGCTTCCAGCTCATTAGCACGCTCCGACCACCAGGCTTCACGGTCCTTACGCAAGCTTTGCCCGATTTCAGTACGTAACATCCTTCGTCTGTGGTCAAACTCACGGTTACCCGGAGCAGACCGACGGGCTTCAATGAGTTGTACGGACTCAGAAGAAACCCAGTGCTTGTAAGCGGGACGTTTCGCGAACTACTGCGTGTACAGTAAAACGAAAAGCTGCTGAGGTTTACGAAAGGAAGCAAATTTCGTTTTCGCATAAATTACTTAACTGATTGTTTGTGGATATGAATAATTACAACTAATGGATCGAATATACTTGGGTATAACAATACGCTCAGGTTTTATAGCGGTATTGCATACTTTGTGAGTTTTGTCACTTATTATAATCAGAAATATACGATCATTTTGTAGGCAATTTATTTGTTAGGTCTTGTTTTGCTATAAGTAATGAGTAGTTATTTTGTTTGAAATTCTTTACCTAATGTATTGCGTTTGAACTGCCATTTTCTTATCAGCCAAACCTCAGTTATCTCTCGAGCGAATCAACTAGTTCTGTGCACAAACACCATTCTTGATGCTCTTCGTTGTGGCAAATGACGGTGTGATGACCAACCCGGTTTCAGCCTAGTTGAACACTTCAGAAATGTTAGGAATCCCAGACGGTCTTCAAAGCCATCTGAAGTATTGCTTGAAATCTCAAAAAAACGTAAAAGCGGGTTGGTCAAGAAACCAATATTTAAAACAACGCAAAATGTATTCTCTGTATTTTTATCTCTTTCTAAACTGATTTTCCAACTTTTTATTATTGTTATCCCTCTATTGTTTTTGTGGTTTGTAATTTTCCCGAACGGGAACACTTGGTTTTATGATTCTCTCTCCCTTCTATTTGCACACGAGGAATGGAGTGTTAAAACTAAAAACTTTGGCAAAATCTTTGGTTATTGTCGAGATAATTAAATATAACGAGTTTTGTTTCAAACGTAATAATAGATTATTACCTAGCGGTTGTGGTGTCTCCATAGTTTTGATAAATGCTTCATGTGCTTCCAACCTTTTTATTTTAGTAACCTGAATGAAAGCCCCTACTTAATTTTTGTGGTTTACGAAAATTTCAAAATCATTTATTGTACTGTACAACTTTCCACTTGTTCTTTTAAATTGAAATATCAACAACAGTCGAAGCAGAGTTATTCATTTTTATTTCTAATAATAAGTGCAGAATTACTGAATGACTCAGTATGCTAATCATACACCATAAAATTCGATCGTATTTAACTATTTTAGTTATTGACAATTTCAATATGATATTCGACCATATTCTGACCATTTCAATTATTGATTATTTCACTATAATATTCGGGTGTATTCATTCAGTATGATATTTATGTAAGTACTAGTTCTCTAAATATAATTTCATTACTTCTTTGATAGTTTTATTCCCTTTAAATGCAAGGAATCTTTATTTATTTATTTGAACACATAAATATTGGTACAAGGGGGCACCAAATATGTGCCACACAAAACAATGAGAATTTAAAGAGAAGGAAAAAAATGTAAGGAACGTAGGTAATGATAAAAAAAAGAACAAAAATGAGGGAAATGAAAAGGTACAATCATAGGAAATCTTACAGTTAATGAAGATACAACCACTCTTTACGAAGAAATTAAAAGAAGGTTACAGCAGGATCGCCACTGGCTTCTATTCTGAGCCATATCTGATAACGTCTCTAGCCACTGTGTTACACCATCTTTCGGTCCCCAACCCGGGAGTCGTGAAGGACCAACAGAAGCTAGCCCTTTGCAGCTTTCTTTCATACCACGACACCATGTCATATACTGACCACCTCTCCGCTTTTTTCCAACCAGTCCCAGAGTCGGCAAATAATGCACGACGTGGAATTCTCGTGGGACGACATTCGTAGAACATGTCCAAGCCACCGAAGTCGGTGTTTCAAGATGGTGACACCAATTTCATTATCGTCTCTGTGACCGAACACACGATGCCGGACCTCTGCATTACTGACATGGTGTTGCCACTGGATGCCAGCAATCCTTCGGAGACAACGATGATCGAACACAGAGAGTCGTCTAACATCCTCAACTCGGAGAGGCCAGGTTTCACAAGCATAGAGCAAAACTGCTCTCACCGTCGCGTTGTAGATCCGACCTTTTACAGCCAGACTAACATCACGAAGGCGCCAAAGATGGCCCAGATTGGCATAAGCCGCTCTGGCTTTCACTATACGTGCATTGATCTCATCACTCACACCACCACCAGCACTTATGCAGCTACCTAGATACACGAACTTCTCGACTACTTCTATCTGCTCACCATCCAGAGTGAGTACAGGATTAGAATCCTGCCAGTCTTGTAGAAGTACTTTGCACTTCGAAGGTGCGAAGCACATACCATACGTACGGACATTGATTGCCAACTGATTAAGTGCGGATTGCATGGCTTGGACATTCTCGCACAGTAAGGCAATATCATCCGCATACTCAAGGTCGAGAAGTCTTTCTCCAGGCAACAGATCCACACCACCATTACTTACATCCGTCAGAGCTGTTTCCCAGAATGTCATCGATGGCAAAGTTGAAGAGGAATGGTGAGATTGGGCAACCCTGCCTAACCCCACTGCTTGAATGGAATAATGGAGAAAGGTGGTTGTATGCCTCACTCTGCCTGAGGTGTTTGTGTATAGGGCTTTTAGGATGTTAATAAACTTCTCAGGCACACACTTCTTCAATAGACAATCCCAGAGAACAGTTCTGTCCAACGAATCGAAGGCAGCCCTGACATCAAGAAACACTACGATTGTTGGCCTTTGTTAAGTATGACGGTGTTCTAACACTTGGCGGAGGGAGAAGATATGATCAATACATCCTCGACCTGAACGAAAACCAGCCTTCTCCTCGCGAGTCAATCTTTCTCGGGTTCTGAACAACCTACGAAGTATGATGGAAGCCAATAGCTTGGACGCAATCGGAAGTAGACTTATTCCCCGATAGTTGTTACAGGAACACGTGAACCCTTTTTAAAGATAGGGACAACTATCGACTCATTCCATGACGTTGGTACACTCTCTAGTTCCCAGACCTTTGTAAACAACGTCGTCAGTTTCTTACAAGAAAGTCACCACCATCTTTAAAAAGAGCCGGGGTTAAATAATCTCAACCCGTGATTTGTAACGTTTCAAGAGTTGGAGTTCCTTGCGGACTTCCGCCTCATTTGGTGGATCAGTCGTCACCGGCCATGGAGGGCAGGACAGTCTGACCGATGTTGCCGGAGCAGCAGGCCAGTTGAACTGCCCTTCGAAAAATTCTGCCCATCGTCCAAGACGTCGATGGATGTTAGTGATTGGCGTTCCGTCATCCTCGCAGATTGTTTCGCTCACACCAGACTTCTTGCTGCCAGTGGCTCGGATGAGTTGGAAGAGCTTCCGGTAATTACCAGATGCAGCTGCTGCTTCCAGCTCATTAGCACGCTCCGACCACCAGGCTTCACGGTCCTTACGCAAGCTTTGCCCGATTTCAGTACGTAACATCCTTCGTCTGTGGTCAAACTCACGGTTACCCGGAGCAGACCGACGGGCTTCAATGAGTTGTAAGGAACCAGAAGAAACCCAGTGCTTGTAAGCGGGACGTTTCGCGAACATATAACTGACTTTACCCGCCATTTTGATGGCGTCATGCAATTGCAACCAATGCTCATCAATACTTTTCGGTGGAATGGCAGCTAGCCAAGAAGCTAGCTCGGTTCGGTACTACTAGCAACAGAAGTTGCAATCCGCTTGCTATAGTCAATCCTTTGGTGGGGGTCACTTCTTTGTCCACTGGGGGGTAAGGTAGGATTGGCGCAGACCAAAGCATGATCATATTCCAGATAGGTACTCCAAAAGGAGCGGCAGTCTTGTACATAACCACTCCAGCTGTAGCTGATCGCGATGTGATCAATCTGAGTCCAGTATACGTTCCTCGTTATCCGTACTGCGACCAACAAGTCCCCATCGGCCACCTAAATGACTCTCTTCTGTGCCTAGTCGCCCGACGTGAGCATTCAAGTCTCCGGCTAGTACTACAATATCTGTCGAACGCACTTTCTGGAGAACAGATAACTGGTGGCAGAATTCATCCTTGATTGCATCCGGGCTGCAATCTATCGGGGCATAGGCGGAGATGACGAAAATACATAGTTTATCACGCCGATTTCTTCTCACCAGAGTCTTGAATACGAGTCTCGGATAGACAACACACGTCAATATTAAGACTTTCCAAAGACATAGCCAGCCCTATCTGTTGTCCGACCTGCATAAGTGTGCGAACGTTAAAGGCAGCCAGTTTGAATGGTGCACGTGGTTTCAGAAAAAGTGCTTCAGTACTCTTATTCGGTGGTAACATACAATTTTCAACCAGGCAGTGACACGAGAACTTTTAGATAGAGCCGAATGTCCACCATAGGCGAGTTACTGTATATGTCGAAAAATAAGGATAGACAGAGTGGAAATAATGACGTGGCAAATAATACTAGTAATAACAATACTACTACTAATAATAATGTGAAATATCTGACGGTAAATCGCCGCGTGAATAGTTTTCAGAAAACATCATTTTCACTATATTTGGGTGTGGGCTGTGATACTGCCCGGGTGCCCAGACCGAAGCAGGTGGTTTTCTTAGGAGGCCATATCCCGAGCCTTCGACCTAAAGGTCTAACCCACAAGGCAGTGGAGCGTCGTGAGGAGATATATTCCCATGGAAGCCGGTGACCAAAAGTTGGTTCATACGCCATTTGTTCCTTCAGGATACTGGAGCCCATGTGCACCATTGATTTGGGATCCGGTTATAACGCCGGACGTTCGCTTTTCGTCCTCTCATTTTCATAAACGACACCCCCGCCACGAGAAGGTAGTGAGTAGGACTTCCCTGGCAGAATCTACTAATGTCTTTGAATACCAATTGCCAACTAATGTGTTTGGCAATAGAAAATTCCTCCTCAAGATGTACCTTCAAGTAATTTTTGTGTTCCTTGGGAAGTTGTCCATGTTCATAGGTGAATTATTTAGTGGTGGTTGTTAAAATCTGGGTAGATTTCATTCATTAAAATAAGGTCCAAGGTTTAATGTAATAAAACTTGTGAATAGCAAATGTTAGTAATAATCATTTGATTTTCCGATGTTTATAGTTTTAAAGATAATCTTGACTTCTTATGGATCATTCTCGTACCTGGAGACTTTATTATGAAATTAAATTGTTCGAAATGTATGGTTCTTTTGGATAGCTGACCAGATGCAAAGTCCTGAACACCTTGTCGACTATAAATAAACGTTATGAGTAGCAATTACATTAAAAGTTTTATTTGTATTACACATTACCACTACTTATTTTTCTGCATGGTTCTGTAGAATTTATTTTCCTTTATTGCTTGTTTAAAATCTCACCACAATTTTGTATACATATTAGGAAAGGTAAACCACACAGGTGTCGTGTAGTGAATAGAGCATAAGTCGTGTCATATACCAGTCACATATATGCACCGGTCTAAGTTACCGCACCTCATCAGCACAACAGAGATGAACACCAAATCATTGAAGTAGTTA